GTGATATGCAATGAGAGCAGAGAAAAAGACAAAATTAACGAGGTTTTACATCCAGTTTAAAGGACCTTAACAGTAAAACATAAATAACAAAAGACCCTTAAGTGTTTTAAATAATTACATTGAAAATCTCAGAAATAAAAATTACGTCAGCATCACCTACAGTTATTTCGAACTCGTTTCCCATTATTCTGTTATGTAGTACTCACTTTATAGCTGCTGTGCCAATCAACCAGTATGACATCATTCTCACCCAGTCCAGTCCACTTACCGCTAGTCAGACACTATGACTGGTATCATTCACAGAGTTATTCTGGGCTATTATTAACCGTGTTTCCCCGAAAATAAGCCCTAGTCGTTCGCTAATCTATACCAAGAATACAAGATGTGCTTGCACTCAATCACATCCTAGGTGCAGGTATCTCGGTCTCCCCCCAAGGACCACAATACTAAATATACAGGGCCATCGAAGGGACGCTGTCTCTCAAGCACACAGCCCAGGATTTGCCGGTCACGTTCAAGAATCAGAGTCCAGACTAGACAGTCAAACTACACGTAGCCTGAACAATGGGAACCTAAAACCGCTTTCTACATTTGTGAATTAAGATTACAAGCTATCGCTCACAATTCATCATGGGTGAGATCGAACTTAATTCCTTGCCAGAACAGCTTCCTTCAAAAAAAACTGTCTGTTTTTCTTCTCTTTTTCAATCTTGTGACATTTTTATTTTTCCATATTTTTTTGTGTATATATTTGTGCATTTATTTTTTCTATTTGAGGAGTTTTTTTTTCATCATTATCTTTTGAACTGATTATCCTACTTTACTGTGGATTTACGTATAAGACAACAAGTGATACATTTGTTATATATTCTGGGATACTGTCCTGCAGAAACTACAACTAGATTGATGGGACTTCCAATTATTTATTTTTTGTCTTTGACCGTTATACATTAGACACATAGGAACGTTGACAGACTTTGTAATTTATTGTTTATAACCACTTTAGGCACAATTTATGCACTTGGTATTTTGCCACTTGACACGTTATAATAGGTCACATACTTCACCCTTATGATATTGATCCATATAGGTTTGTTTAGATATATTATAATCCTCTGATTTGTCTGCTTGCAGACTTGACTAATAATGGCAATAACATGCCACTATCTTGTCATGTCTACTTACAGACTCAACCAATAATGGCAATGTTATGCAAATAAATTTATATATTTTTATGTTCGTTAATATATGTTCGGGGAATTTGCGGGATTCCATTCGCAAGAAACATGAGAAACTATGTTTCTCTGAACATAGATTGCCAAAATTCTATTAGCGAGTAAGCTAATCTATGTTCGGGAAAGTTTACCCAAACATAGATTTGCAATATTCTATTAGCGAGTAAGCTAATCTATGTTCGGTAAAGTTTACCTAAACATAGAGTTGCAATATTCTATTAGCGAGTTAGCTAATCTATGTTCGGGAAAGTTTACCCAAACATAGATTTGTGATATTCTATTAGCGAGTAAGCTAATCTATGTTCGGGAAAGTTTACCCAAACATAGATTTGTGATATTCTATTAGCGAGTAAGCTAATCTATGTTCGGGAAAGTTTACCCAAACACAGATTTGCGATATTCTATTAGCGAGTAAGCTAATCTATGTTCGGGAAAGTTTACCCAAACACAGATTTGCGATATTCTATTAGCGAGTAAGCTAATCTATGTTCAGGAAAGTTTACCCAAACATAGATTTGCAATATTCTATTAGCGAGTAAACTAATCTATGTTCGGGAACGTTTACCCAAACATAGATTTGCAGGATTCCATACCCTAGTGAACTAGTCTATGTTCGGGGGAATTCCCCTGAACATAGACCTGCTTTCTAGCACACGTTTTTCCCTGAAATAAGACCTCCCCCGAAAATAAGTCCTAGTGACTTTTTTCGGGGAAAAAAATTAATATAGGACCCGGTCTTATTTTCGGGGAAAGACGGTATAAAGCGCCAACAGATTCCGCAGTGCTGTTCAATAGGTATTGATTGTGTATGACTATAAGTTGGCCATGTAGCTCACAAACACACCGCGAGGTTGGTAAGCTGTCATATGGTGGGGAGCATAGTGATTCTACAATCAAAAGCATTTATTAATTTTTCAGTTCTCATTTAACACTCTTACACAAAGCACTTTAAAATGTACGTAAAAACAACATGCATACAAAATTAACATTGGTAATTATACAAACGGGGGATAATTAATTAGACACGCTAAAACAAAGGAACACGATAACCCTCCCTCTGAGTTACGGGGGCAGACTGCCAAACAAACTAAGGGCATCAAATGCAAACAAAATTAATTGGCAATAAATGAATTTCACTTGCAACTGGTAATATTGTGCATACATGACTCCGTAGTTTGCAACATACCCTGGAAATTATGTAAATACAAATCTAGTAGTGAAAGGGTTTGAACATAAATTGAATTAAATATTTATTATTTTTTCAGTAATTCAGAAGATATAGAGTAATGTATTATATGTCCTTAAAAAAAAATCACTGTCCAGAAAAAAAAAAAATTCTGCATTTATTCCTTTGCAAACTGAACTGAACTTACTGCTCCTCAAACTCATTTACATCATACTCAAGCGATCCGTGTTAATTGGATTCTTGTTTACTCACACATAGGAGTGAATGTATACAGACAATCCACCTGGAGACAGAAATCTAATTACTGATAATATCTAACTAGCAGACAGTTAAAGTACTGACCTCACAGGGACAAATACCTTGACAAATATGGAGCAACTAACACTTGTTAGACAGCACATAAAGATCAAAGGAAGGCAAAAGCAATGCTAGAACTGATGAACAATTTTAGATCACAGTCAGTGATATTTCTCCTTATGCACAGATAAGCCACAACATTAAATTACATAGAAACATAGAATGTGAGGGCTGATAAGAACCATTCGGCCCATCTAGTCTGCCCAATTTTCTAAATACTTTCATTAGTCCCTAGCCTTATCTTATAGTTAGGATAGCCTTATGCCTATCCCACGCATGCTTAAACTCCTTTACTGTGTTAACCTCTACCACTTCAGCTGGAAGGCTATTCCATGCATCCACTACCCTCTCAGTAAAGTAATACTGAGAGGGTAATACCTGCCTAATATTGTGTAGGTCCCCCTCATGCTACCAAAACAGGTCTGTTATGTCGTGGCATGGACTCCATAGACCTCTGAACATGTCCTGTGGCATGTGGCACCAATACATTAGCAGCAGATTCTTTAAAGGGACACTGTAGTCATTATAACCGTTTTATCTCTTTGAATTGGTTATAGTTCCTAGGGTTCCCATTCAATGTTAAAGATTTTTGAGCAGTTTAACACTAAATAAGGGTCCTTGACCACCCACAGTCCAGAGATTGCACACTTAGTTGTAGTCATACAGTGAGGGAAAAAAGTATTTGATCCCCTGCTGATTTTGAACGTTTGCCCAAAGAAATGATCAGTCTATCATTTTAATGTTAGGTGTAATTTAACAGTGAGAGACAGAATAACAAAAAAATAAAAAATCTAGAAAAACGCATGTCAAAAAAGTTATAAATTGATTTGCATTAGGAGCAAATTGACTTGGGATTAGGAGCACTCTCCCTTCTACTTCAGATTAGGGGACCATCTTCACATATTCATGGCAGTTAGTACAGTTAGCATGCGGTAGGAGAACAGGTTTTCCCACTGGACTTTATTTAGGCAGGGATTAAGTTGTTGCTATGGCCTCGAGCAGCTGTATACTGGTCTAGTCTTTTTTGAATCTTTAGTATAAACGATAATGTTAGGTTTCTTTTTTCTTGTCTTTAGATAACCCTTCCCATGTGGTGAATTCTGAACATTGCAATAAGGTTTCTGCTATGATACAGGATATTGATTATACTGTATGTAGTTTATGTGGTTCTGACGGATACCGTCAATACCACACTTATTTGTTAGTTAATGCAGTGGTGTTCTGATCTAGATATAATAGAATGGTTTAATTTATTAGGAATGTAATATTTAAGTAGAGGCCGATCTAATGTTTAATCTATGTATTGAATAAAGGTTATTTTTATTTATATATATTTCCCACCCCCATACCACCTTCTATTAAAAAAAAAAAAAAATATTCAAATTTTTTTTCTGACTGTATGTTTATTGTGACTGGCCTCCATCAATACGCCTTTTTCTCTTTTTCGTGTGACTTTATAGAGTTACCAATCCACAGTTAAGTCATCTAATGTTATGACATCCTCATTCTACGTTAATTTTGGTTAAAATCTCAAGTTTGTGATTTACTACTGAAGTCCACTTCATTGTTTAGGTTTTGTCATAGAAAGACATTGACTACACAAACTGGCCTATCTATATACCGTTACACGTTCAGCTTGGCAGATAGAAAATTATTTCACAAAAAAAATGAGTCTACCTACTGTTATTACTGATATGCCTAACTTGTTGGTAATACTATGACACGCTTAATTAATATAAAATGAGGCCGTTACTCGTAGGAGATGTTGCAATGTATTATCCTGCTCCCTGTATAAAATTGTGCATCCCCTCTTCTTTATTCTGTACCCCATTTCATATTTGCCTCAATAAAAAAAAAAAAATAGAAAAAATAATCACATGCGTTTTTTTTTTTTCAATTCCTTATAGTTTTCTATGTGTTTAGTTTTGTTGCAGAGATAAAAGTGAAGACGAAATACTCTATGTCTTTATAAGATCATGATTTTGTCATAGAAATAGTAACAATGTTTTATCATCTCTCAAGTCTATAGTATGTGGGTCGTGAAAAGTGAATTATATATGTATACACTATATTCTAGAATAGCTTGAAACCTGAACTTTGAAGTATAGAAATACAGATCTGTTTCAGAGTGTACTGTATGAAGATAAAAATGTAATATACACAGTAAACTGTTATTATATCTGTTTATCACGCAACAACAGTTAATGGAGAAATGAATCACATTTAATTCTGTACATGATAATTTTATTGGAAAAACATGTCAAAGATCCATAAAGTGCATACAGCTCTTTGTACAATAGAACAAGAAAAAAAATGCAAAGAAATAAAGTGTAACCTTTAAAGGCCAGGTTTGCATTATGTTAACTGGATTCCATCCTGGGTGTTTGGAGGGAAGTAAAAGCAGTGCTATCAACCCCTATTTACTGAGCAGCATATAACCAATTTATGAAAGGTTTATTGAAATATCTTCTAGAATTTGTGATCAGTTGTAACGGTCCAGAAAGCAACTTGGAAAGTCCAATATTCAGGCACAAACAGGTTTCTATTGTTATTATATGTCAAATATAACTCTAGAAAGCAGGCTTCTCGGATAACGTCTTTGCACCCGTGCTTTTAAACACAATTAAAAAGGATATTGCCAATGTTAATTAATACTTCTGATCAAATCTAGAGATCCTCTATACATTAACACTCGATGTTAAGTTCAGCTAAACCCTACCGATTATACCTGCTCCCAAATCTGGGCATGGATTGCTTAGTTTATTCCAAATCCTTTCCTCCCTACATCCCAAAATTAATTATTTGTTAATACAATTTAATACATCTTTTTCACTCAAGGGAATACCTTGGAAACCTGATCCATCAATATGTATTCAGAATGTCAGATCAAGCCTCGTCTTATATATTACACTGTGATTATTTTCATACTCCCTAGTGTTTCTCACCTTTACTCCACTGTGTATCTCTCCAAACACTACCCCCTTGTGTGTCTATTTGAACAATCTCTTAACCCTGGTAGAACTTTCCAAAACCGCCACTCTCCCTGTTAAATTTTGTACCCATGACTACCAATATTCTAGCGGGGCAAAGCAAGACTGTTTCTCTGCTGATTCGGTCATTTGAACTCAGAGTGGCTGTGCAGTGTCAACGGCCAGAAATGCATGATAGAGGATTTGTTAATATATCACATACTGTGCTATTTGTTTCCTTACCAGTTTAATTTTATATTGCATGGTTGCACTTTTGGCATCGGGTTCTGTGCAAAAATGCGTCTCTTGCTGTGCTTTTTTTTATGGTTATCACAGTGCCAAATATATACAATCTGAAGTCCCATGGCTTAAAGCCTACATTGACAGCTATATAGGAAGAGGTTTTACCAACTAAAAGGCTAGCATTTACATCTGAAGAATACTAGCCGTTGCTTTGCCATGACAACCTATGCATCCTAACTGCACTCTGCAAGAATAAGATAAAGACGAATCTTTTCAAAAAACAGACACACCCAATGTATAACAAAAACTTTGAGGGTATGTAATAATGTTATGACATACCAAATACATCAGAAGATTTCCACATGGTTAAAATGTTACACATGGTTGTAATTAAGTTTAAGAAAGCAGGTTTGTACCCTCAAATGAAATGAGAAAATCTTTGCAAATGTAATTGTCACTCTAAAGGATGAATATATTTCTTCGGTAGGACACACAGGATCAGGTACGTTGTTGGCCCATTGATGCTGTATTTAATCAGCTGTTGATTTACCAAACATCCTCTGTATGAAGAATTTCAATCTTGTGTTGGCTGCATAACTTTTGCGTGCCTTCTAGCGTAAGCTAAAGTTAAATATTTGAACCCAGACAGAAATCCATATAGATCTAGCCTTCGATTACCATAAAAAGTAGAAATATTTTCTTGTTGTATCTCAGCACCTCCTAAGATCAAGTCACCCTCTCCTCTGTTGCTGGCAGAGGATATCTGATCAAAACTTGGCAGCAAAAAAGACCACAACTTACAAAAGTCCTTGTCTGACTTACTGTGTCAGTCTATTTTTCATTGCAACTTACTTTACATTTTATTCACGTCTTAAATCCTTAACATTATCAAACTCATCTTCTCCTTCTTCCAGTGTTCCACTCTGTAGTTCAAATATTCATGCCCAAAATCCTGTACATCCCTTGCAGTGCCTGGAACTTAAAAGCCTTGTATTTCTTCATCCTACTGTCACCATATTTGTTTTCCCTACAGTATTCCACCACGTGATGTTCTCTTTTTACGAAGGCTTTTTCATTTCCCATTCCTGGAATTCAAACACACAAGCATTAATAGAGCCATGTTGAAATTTTAAAAAAATGAATAAATAAAAAAGTGCATCTCTTTCATGTACAGACTGATTGGGAAATTTATTATGGGTACCTAAAAATAGACTTTTAGAGCCAGCAATTATTTCTATAATAATAAAAACAAACGACAATTTATATACTGGTCCCACAATAAGAGTTAATTATACAAGTAATTTTAAGAGCTTAGTAATGTTCTCATGAAAGACATTCACTGACCAGGAGATGTACTAAGAGAGCGTTAATCACATTGCCAAGGTTCCTTGTACTTCTCCTAGACACTATCAACATAAACGTTCTAAAAATGAGCCACCTGATCATTGTAAATTGCCAGATAACCACTTCGGAAAACCAGCACTACCAGCCGTGTGGAGCGGTTTCTCAGACAAACTCTCGGCCGCGGCTGGTCAAAACTTATCTTGGGTGGTGTTTACACTTCGCACTTGGGTTCAGAGCGCTACTTTGTAAGATTGGTTCCTTAGGGACAAGCTTTCCAGGGATACCAAATATATGGGGGTTCCTATAGTTTTTCTATGCGTTTTCGGGATATTTCTTGTCAGACGCCTACCAGTCCGAAAGGTTAATTAATTTAGCGTTGATTAATCTGATCATGTCCCAGACAGAGGTGTTTGGGTGGGATTACTATTGTTTCAGTTACTGATCACATGCTGGGGGTCTGGGTATAAACGTCTGTGTAAATCCCTAATAAAGTGTCCTTGTTTTCATCCTTCATCAAGTCTCAACTGATGTTTGGGTAGGTCTGCTATAACCAATGAAGACTTTGAGGGATTAGGAGGCCAGTTTGGTGGAGATACCCAGCCACAGTATCAGAGCAAATGTTTTAAAATAAGATTTACTTCCCTTAATCCAAAGCCCAGCGAAGCATGGCAGTGCATGGCAGTCCAATCAAAGTCTTCTCATAGAGAAGCCTATGATAGGACCATTTAACAGGCAAGAGTGCAGAAGAGAAGCCTATGATAGGACCATTTAACAGGCAAGAGGGCAGGGAGAGAGGGGAAAAGTAGAGAATGTGTCGCCAGCATGCAATGCACGCTGACAACAGACGTAGAATATGCACAGAATTGACATTAGGCATAGTTCCCAGCTGCCCAAGTCCTGTGTGCCAATGGCGTAACTATTTCCCAGCACACAAGTGCAAATTACTCTGGATTTGTAAGCTACATTGCACACATAGTCCTACTACCATGACACACTTCAAAAAGCAGACGTGGTCATGGTGATTGTAGAAACCCTTTAATGGGGTTGAGTCTGAGATATCTGTAAATGAGAAAGAATATATAGACAAGAGGTCATCCCTGAGACTCAAAAGAAAAAGCAATACAAGTTTTATACTGTAAGAATTATAATGTAGACATCTCTCTTAAAGATGGTATTCATCAGCTTCAGTAGAATTTTTTTCTTTTTACTTTTTTTTTTTTAGAGGTCTGAATGCTTTTTTTGTAAGAACTGATCTACCATCCAAATTAACAGTTATATCCTGTAATAGTCTATGGAAATATCTGATGGACATTTAGGAATTAAGAACATTATTTCACCATTTTGTGCATTCACGTGGAACAAAATGTAGTTACCTTGGCCTTTTGAAGCACTTTGCCTTTGTTTGATGTTACATTGGTTGGAGGTTTACGTTTTAGTTCTGCTGCACTATTGACTGGCACCGGGCGATCAGCTTCCTTCTGAAATTTAGGAGCCTTGCAGCAAAATAAAGCATTTAAATTAAATAATTATATATGGGAAAATAAATACAAATATTTTAGATATTACATACACACAACACGCACACATATATCTCAAAAGAAAAATGAGACTTTATTATAAATTCCCTAGAAATGCAAACTGCGGCCAAATGATGACTTGCTACAATGTCCTGCACATCACGGATACTTACTGGATTCTCAGTCTTGCTAGTCACAGACAGCCCAAGCGAAGGGCCTCCAGCCAGAGATTTCTTCAGGCTTTCTTTGACCTCAGTCAACTGCAGCTCCAATTCTACTCTGGCCTTTTCGTTGTCCTTACATTGCTCTTCCAGCATGGAGAGTCTGGCCTCCAGATCCTGCTGCTGCTTGCCTACAGACAGAGAATGTATGCTGAACGTTAGAACCCACTTACAGCCCCCCACACAATGTATTGTACAGGCTTCAAAAATAATGTAAGGATAAATATTTAGGGGATAAGAACATACACACAACTTCGTATGGTCATCAATAGTATTTTTTTTTTTAATCACATGATAAAAACGCTCCCGTACACATGATGAAAGATTTCAAATGAATTTATGAAAGTTCCTACCTGAACTGTTTTTCATTGTTTCTTTGAGTTCCCTTCTCTCCTTTCTCATTTCCAGCAGTCTGCTCCGGATAGCCTCCTTCTCTTTTTCAAGTCTTTCTTTCTCCATCACAAACTTGCGAGCATCTTCCTCTGCTCTGGTTTTACCATATTTATACTGGTTGGCATCTAAAAACCATCATAATTCACATTTAATGAGAGAGTGCTTTTTTCCCTCTAATATATGCATTTTTAAAAATAGCCAAGTTTAAGATTTTCTTCCCCCATTTAACGTATTATTCGCCTAAAATTTGCAATTCCCTTATTAATTCTGCCTTTTCAGGAACAAACCTTCATTAAAATTGGTTAAACAAGTTTGACACAAAACCTAGTAGCATTTAAGTGTGGGATTTTCCCAAGGAAGCAACACACACCTAGATCTCACACATTTCAAATGTGCATTTACATCAACTTAGCTTAGGAAAAAAAAAAAAATTCCCTTTGACATTCCTACCACTTGGGAGCTCCTCGTTAGCACTCCAATTTATGGAGCCAATTATGTCTTTGGTCAATTTCCTGGTGGCAGAGAGCCCCTGTGCTCATTATTCTAACCTCAAACAGGTCATTCCAGTTTTTACACACATGCCTAGTCCTAATTAATTATAGAATATAAATAAAAATTGATTAGTACAATGTCTCACTCTACCCAAAGATCTCACTGATGAGAGAAGTCCTTGTTGTAATGGGTGTATACACTAAACTCAAAACAAGTAATATTACATTAAATAGAAAGATCATAACAGATCAGTGTTAAAGAGAGGTCCTAAATTTAAAAAAAATATTTTTTAAAGATGGATTTTTGGGATTATACGACCTGTACAAGAAATAGAAATTCATGTGCTAGCTGTAGGAAATACATAGTTGCCAATGGTATTGTTTTACGTAACTAAATGAACTGCTGCTCTTGTGGGTTTTTGGCAAAGTGACAAATCTGAGACTGTATGTGTTTTATGAACCAACACTTGGTAGGAGTCCCTCATTTTGTATTTGTATAGTGACATCTGCTGGACTAATGGATAATTTGCCTCTCATCAAAAATAAATTAAGTGTTAAAATTGATTCTTTTCCGTAATGTTAAAGTGATGGACAGGTTTAACCATTAACAATGAAAAGTAACGTATATCCATTGAGTAGTGCATTTGACAAAATAGAAATGGAAAAATCCCCTAAAATTCAGTTTTTTTACATTTTTCATTTAGTGTTTCAATATATTTTTTTTAGTTTTGGTTTTCCCCAATACATGAGTACATCTCAAAAGACTTTTGGTCTAGAAGAAGGGTTAAATGACCACTATGGGCACCCAGACCACTTCAGCTTAATGAAGTGGTCTGGGTGCTTGGTCCAGCTAGGGTTTACCCCTTTTTTTAAAATAAACATAGCAGTTTCAGAGAAACTGCTATGTTTATAAATAGGTTAATCCAGCCTCTAGTGGCTGTCTGCGCATGTGCATTCAGCCAAAGAGGAGGAGGAGAGCTCCCCGCCCGGCGCTGGAGAAAGAGGTAAGTTTAACCCCTTCCTCTCCCCAGAGCCCGGCGGGAGGGGGTCCCTGAGGGTGGGGGCACCCTCAGGGCACTATAGTGCCAGGAAAACGAGTATGTTTTCCTGGCACTATAGTGGTCCTTTACTATCCCACATGATTATTACTTGTATTTATCTGGGTTGTTGGAACTGACTGAGCAGTACAAAATAACATAAATTTGAGATTAAAGGGACATTCAATTACCCAAATGAAAAAAAGCAAACACTTTTGTAGATATACCCCTAATTTAAACAAACATTTAAAGTACCACTATAGGCACCCGGACCACTTCAGCTCAATGACGTGGTCTGGTTGCCAGGTGCCCATAGTTTTAACCCTGCAGCTGAAAACAGCAGTTTTAGAGTACATGCTAGGTTTACACTACAGGGTTAATCCAGCCTCTAGTGGCTGTCTCCCGGAGGAGATATCACCAGCGCAGAGGGAGCCCGGCGCTGGATTAAGGTTAGCAAATAAATGGTTAATTAACCATTTATTTGCCGCGGAACAGGGCTCTAGTCACCGTTTAGGTGACTAGGGCTCTATAGCATTAGGAATACATAAAGCCTTTAATTATGGCATTTTTACAAAAGGGTATATTTGAAATCAGCTTGCAGGTCGCTTATCTTAACCAGATGCAAGCCAAAAAATGTTAAGCCTTTACATTTTTAATGAAACCTGCACTTTTCCCCCCCTTTTCATTTTACAAAGAGGACACACTCTTCACAAAGCACTCCAGCAAGCTAAACTAATTTAGGATCTAGAGTTCCCATTAAACGGAAAATGCATAATGGACTTGTTTAGTTTTGCAGCCACAATGCAATCTACTGGATCAATTACTGTCTCTATTATTTTTACTTACTCACATATTCTCATAAAAGAGGAGACTGTTTTACCACTGTCTAAATGACTCCTGATTATTGATTGTCCCTATTAATTTTCAGAGCTACAATGCTGATGACCCTATGCTTAGACTTCTAACCCCAAATTGCAACCTTAAATAATACCACAAAATGAAATCCTTACCCCTAAACCTAAAAACTACCACTAAAACAAACCCCAGGTGTCACTCATAACACGTCTAACTTGAAGTACTACCCTGAACTTTGCCATCCAATACAGAATACGATTTATAATCCTAATTCCAAATACTGTTCCACAGTGAGGTCTCAAAAACTTTTTATCCTAAACAGTTGTAGACTAATAATATCATATCTCTCAAAGCCAACCCTTTACATGAGACTTTACACTTACTGGAAGCATGACGTTTTACTTTAGCTTGAGAGTCCACGCGTCGGGATTTTTCACTGCAAGATGAAGCATGACGTTTTACTTGTGTTCCTCCAGAAACACGTTTGGGATCTTCTATCTTAGGAAACAAAATTAAAAGATGGTGGTGAGTTTGGTTCTCTACAAATCATCATCTAGAATATTTCTGCAGAGTGTCTGGCCAAATAAATAAGGAGAGATTTTATGTAGAGTGTTAGAATTTTTGTAGCAGGATTTTAAAGACAACTATTGGACTTTAGAACATTTATCAAATTTAAACCCAGTTTTACATTTCTACTGGATAATGTTGTGATCAGTCTAAAACAAATCAAGTAAGACATACGTTATCATGTTGTGTATGTGTTCACACTTATTTCTCACGCTCATGCATGAATAGTAAAATGAACATTGACCATTGCTCTTGAGTTTGGGTATATCGGCTTCTGATTTGATTGTGCCCAAGAGCAGGTCATCAATTTATTGATCAACATTCAGTATTCAAGTTCCCCTACTTTGCAACATGACTAGTTTATGATTTAGAAAATATAACCAAGTCACCATATACAGCACCCAGGACCACTTATACTGACCTGTTAGGTATACAAAATGCAAATTATGCAACAAAATGCCTTCTTATGTTCTGCTTAAAAATAATGTTTTACTGAAAAGTTAAACTGCTTTGAAAAAAAATATGAATGCACAGCAGCTCTCTATTAAACCAGAAACACGTGGGATTGTTTACTGGAAGCCCCACACTCACTTCAGTAGGTGGCCACCACATAGACTTTAAGACCCTAATGTCTATGGGTGTCTTAAATTACCCCAAAATTAAAAGAACACTATTGTGTCAGGAACACAAACATGTTTTTCTGACACTATACTGTTAAACCCACTGTTTAGATCCTCAACCCCCCTATCAGACCAGTAAAAAGGTGCGCACCTTTTCCCCTACACCTGGAGGGACTTGCCACAGCTGGCCCCGACTTGCTCCATATCAGTGACTGAGATTATCAACCTTGATGATTTCAGTCAATTCAATGCTTTACCATTAGAAAGCATTGGCAAAATTCCATGCTGCGGCAATCAGTATCTCACTCTACATTGAATCAATGCACCTCTATGTAAAACGTTCAGAGTCTCCATGCAGGGCGTGGAGACGCGGATTGCCAGTTCTGCACACTATGCATGATTAACACATGAAGCACTTCATATATACATTGAATTGCAAGTTTAACAGGTTCATATGCATTAAAAGGGGAAGCAATAAACGGTTAACCATCAATCACCATACCTTCTCATAGGCGACATCATCATAGACCCGTGAGTCACTGCTACTGCTTTGTGAAGAGGTTGCCCATCTGGAAATAAAAATAGCGATTCAGTAAGTTAACAGACGTCAGGTCGAGGTGATTTTACTTAAAGGGACACTATAGTCACCCAGACCACTCCAAAGAAACTGCTATGTTTACATAGCAGCATTAATCCTACCTCTAGTCGCTGTCTTCCTGACAGCCGCTAGAGGCGCATCTGCGACGCTGGATGCGATATTCGCATCCAGTGTGCAGAACATCCATAGGAAAGCATTGGGAAAGCACTTGCCGATCATGCGCATTCCCCTCCACTCGGTAGCGGACGTCGTTGGGGGAGGAGAGGTCACTAAAGGTAAGCTGCTGAAGGGGTTTTAATCCCTTCAGTGCCACAGGAGGGCAACCCTGAGGGCACTATAGTGTCAGGAAGACCGCTTTGTTTTCCTGACACTATAGTGATCCTTTAATTCTGTCTGGTAGCAAGATGACATCTCAAGTGCTTTGCAATTCTTTACAATGTTTGCATTTACCACATCAACTGGAAAGTCAATATAAGGAAAAAAAAAAAGTGTTATCTACTACGTTCCAACATAAATAAGAAATGAAGATGTTGTAAAAAGGAATAATTATGGCGAAAAGTATGGTACACTCTCTCTCTTTCTAACACTATAGGCACACGTATTATGGGGTTAAGTCCACCTCTAGAGGCCTTTCCTGCTCCCTGAGTTTTACTCTTGAAAATGTTGAACATCTTCAAATTGCCTGTAAAAAAGCATGGATTCAAGCACGTGGCGCTAGCCACGCATGAGCATAAGGTCCTCCATTGCCATAATGTCGGAGGAGGAAACATAGCTAGCACTAAAGGAGCCTCGTCTCTGGAAGGGAATAAGTCATTGCCTATCCCTGTATTGCACTCCAAAAATAAAGAATGAATTGGGGGAGGGGGGGAGGGTGGCGCGCTAGTACGTTAGGGACAGGGCACACTATAGTAATATGGTTTGTATTTAAGTTTAAGATTAAATGTTACACAAAATTGTATCTACTACACCACCAACATATAACATGTATAACTGTCCAAGTGATCTTATTTTACATTGATGTCAATAGCAACCATGAGAGAGATTACAATTAAAAAATTGATTGCATGATACACTTATTAGAGATCTTTTGTGATCTTGCCACCGACTTTGTGATAGAGGTGTAATTTTCACTATTTGCTTCTACTTTGACACATTAGCTTTGCCGATCACAAAGTTTCATAGATTATACACGGCAGGATTTCAGGTTCTGTTTTGTCCAGAGATCAAGTCTAAACAGTTGAACTTATACTTCACCCAACAAACTGCAATCACATGTTTTAAGTCCCTGTAGTAATGCACGCATATAGTTCATTACACAAGCTGTCTTATGTGCTCTGTGGGTAGGGGTTTTTAATGTCAGTGTTCTGTTTGTATTGTACAATGCAATCACACCTTCTATATCTAACATTATGTTAGTCACTCAGTAAGCGCCTGCATTTTATCTCCACTTACAGGAAGGAGTGGCGTACTGCTGTGACAATGTTGGCTATCATCTCCACGTCCACATAGTCATAGTGTAAGGCTTCTGGCTTTATTTTCGATCCAGTCTGGGCCAAGAGAAGCCCAATCCAGCGTCCCATTTCTTCTGAAGAACTAGCCTGGAGAGAACAAAGAGTAAGAAACTATTCTAGAGATATGCATATATTAAAACAAAAACATTAGGTTTCCTTGATTTAAATAATTCTATGATATTTTATTTTGTTTATTATGCAAATCAACTGGACACACATAAAACACCAGCTATTGTCAAACTATCTAGGCACGTTTTACATTCAAGAATTGTAAATAAGTAGTCCTGGGATACTTGCCTCTAGGATAGAAATGTCCTGACTCTGACGCAGAATGCGAAAGGCAAAGGGGTGCAGTGGACCAAGTCCAGGGGATACCTCACATCCTCTCAGTGCGATAGAATTAATGTGTGTGCGTAGATCATTGCGGTCCTTGTGGAAATAGAGTGTGTGGCCCTTTAATCGACACCATCTCTCTTTCCAGCACTGATTTACAAATACATTCAAGTAACCTGTGGCATAAATTAGGAGCATAAGAACGAAGAAGGAATGTCTCATGAAGAATATATATAATACAGTACAGAGAGGAGGACAGTGGAAAGTTAAAAAAATTACACTAGGATTTGTTTTATATACTTCACTTATTCTTTATAGAATACCATCACTGACCAAGTGCCCAATTTATGGATAACACACAGGGAAAGAGTAAAATCTGGACCCAGCACAGAGATAGGCATATACATACTATCCAGTTAAACCGTAAATGGTCAGGAGGAAAGAAAAGAGAAAAGAAAAGAGAAAAGAGAGAGAGATCATAAAGGTGCACACCTGGATTTAAGAAATATAACTAAATTTATTGTGCAAAAAAAAATAAAAATAAAAAAAAAAAAGTTCAAAGGATCAAGTGTTTCGACTTCTGAAAGGTCTTTCTCAAGATCAGAACCAATAAACTAAGTTACATTTGCACAATAAATTAAGTTAGCTTTCTTAAATCCAGGTGTGCACTTTTATGATTTTTCTCTATAAATACACATGGCGGGTCTGCACCCTGGTAATAGCTAATAATTTCAATCAGGAGTGAAGAGTGCCAAACGTACTTTTTGTAAATAAATATATATATATATATATAAATATCTCCATATCCAAAAGGCTTGGCACTCACCTTTCTTATATAAAAAAAAAGAAAATTTCATACCCTGGTGCTAACTGCGTTAAGTAGATAATTCCAGTAATGAAGGAGACACTTATAATGGAAGATTCAGAGGACCATCATTACAGCTGACTGAGGAAGCTCTATTGAGAGTGAGACGCGTATTGGCCATTTTAAAGGACTTTTACCAAGGACTTTTTTTTACCATTTATTTTTTATTATTATTGTATATCAATAAATGTGTTATTTTACTCAAGATATCTTGCTCAAGTCCTTTTTGGAGCATCTAGGAATCTTCATTTGGGCAGTGCCATCCCTATTTAAATTGGCACCACATCTATACACCTTAGAGCCAGTCCCATAGGCTCAGGACCAGGTGAGCACCACATTTACTATTTTAGATCCGTGTTTTTACCGCTACAGTCTTCACATTGGTTCGTTCTCCTTTTATGTCTTATTTATGAGAACTACTCCAAGCCGAAGGGTGATGCTACCAAAAAAAGCACACAAGCCTTAATACGGAACCAGTTTTTTTATATACAGGCTCCTTAACATGTGAGTGTACAGTTTGCTACGTTATTATTATTTCTGTATTGCAATTTTAAATACCATCTGCACTATATTGTATCTTTTTGTATTTTTTTGGCATGAACTTCATATTGTACTATTGGATTAAGTCACGCTTGGTAAGCTTTATATTTGTTTGAGCGCTCCACTTATAGGTGTAGGTCTTTGTCACTTATACCGCACTGTATTTTATATGATTGTTTAGTGGAAAAGAGGATATTTCCACATAAGTGTATAGAGCTGCTTGTTAATCACGCTTATTCTTGTTTAAGCACTTTGTTACACACATTCCTCCGTGAAAGAAGGTAACTTTGGATTGGTATTCAATGAAGTAGGTGCACTCAGGTTTTTTTTGTGAAAATCAAATAATACCTTTTATTGCATATGAGCAAAAATTGACACTCTGTCCCGATCGACGTTTCAACCCTAACCTGGGTCTTTCTCAAGATCAACAAGTGAAGCAAACAAATGTACAATATATACAGTAAAGAATAAAGTGATTTACCAATCCAAGTGTAACTTCGGAGGGTACCTTAACATGTTCACGAGGGACACGTGACCCCCTGTAATGTGATGACGCCGAGGTACGTGCAGTCGGTTGCTAGGAAACCTCAAAACAACCGGCCGTTGTAATCCAGTGTAAAGTGTAGTGGAGAGAATGTGTACAGAATAATGCTGCGAGCAGCATCTTACATCTTAGAGGAAAACCAGTAATCAGTATAATACATAAGACATTGTGGATAGACCCCTGTAGCCATACCTTCCCCTAGAGAAAGAAGGAGAATATGCCCTTATATCAAAAGTGATTACATTATTGTGGCTACAAACATGCCGTGGTATCTACTATTATACCTCCGAAGTGATCTGAAGTCACATTCTGCTAAAGCATTGATAAATAACATTACAAATGTGTTTAAAACAGAACCACAAGCACAAAATAAAATACACAAAGTAAGTTGCATTAAAGTGTATATAGGGGCAGCTACTGATATGATCCGACTAATGTGTCAATCCTTGTATTACAAAAAATGTAAAAATGTATGCTGCATGAGTCAATTTAAGGGAAAAGAATTAGTAAATGCTAAACCAGTCTATTAGTCTAATTGTATATAATCATAAGACTATGGCCATAATATGGCGGTCTCATTAGTACTATTATAATGCATGTAAGTATAGGACACGCTGACTGTCTAATGCCAAATAGGAACAATCCCAGGATTAATTACTAACCAGGTCCTGTATGTCAAGACAGACAAAAGAAATACAGCAAAGGTTAAATGATGGAATCTATTTTTCATACGCTAAGCCTTCGAAGGGGAAATGAAACATGGATATAACAAGGGGATACTTAACCAAAATACTCTTACAAATTACCAACTTAAAACATGGAGAGTGTTTGAATTCTACACGAAATGCAACATGTATGTACAAGTGGTGTACTAGTCATACTAAAGAGACCTTTGATCTAACCAAAGGGTTATGGCGTGTAACATATCCTGTATTAGCTCATGAGGAGAAATCTGTATATATACACGTGTACGGTCATGTGCACCGCACTGACTTAGAGTGTGGTATAACCTGTAATAGACTGGTTTAGCATTTACAAATTCCTTTCCCGTTAATTGACTAATGCAGCGTACATTTTTTTTTTTTGTGCACAGACAAATAACATTCGCTTGTGAGGTACCCCAAAGGCAATCATCTAGCGTTCCATATTTATTTATTACACAGGGGTATATGAGAGACATGCACATTTTGTTATTATTTAGTCGTACATGAAAATTAACAGGCGCTTTTGCGAGTAAGTCGAGTGTGTGTCGGGGAGGCCTCCAAGTAGTTTGGCAACGGCCAGCAGAGGGATCGGCCGCCTCCCCCGTGCCATCTGAGTAGGCCGCTTGTAAGCCTCAGGTCGATCCCCGGTACGTCGTCGCTGTGGTTTGCCGCGGCCTCGCTGGTGCGCTTTCTCTGTGGTAAGCCCTCTGTTTGGGGGCTGAAAGGTAGCCAGTTTTAGGGCTTAACCCCTTAAGGACACATGACATGTGTGACATGTTATGATTCCCTTTTATTCCAGAAATTTGGTCCTTAAGGGGTTAATGTCGCTATTTAGGCTTATTTCAGGCTTTTTTGTGAGGAGCTCCACCCGTATGCATCCGTTCGTCTAGGCTGCTAGGCTCCGCCCCCATGCAGCATACATTTAATTTTTTTTTGTAATATAAGGATTAGTTGGATCCTATCAGTAGCTGCCCCTATATACACTTTAATGCAATACTTTGTGTATTTTATTTTGTGCATGGGTTCTGTTTAAATACATTTGTAATGTTATTTATCAATGCTTTAGCAGAATGTGACTTCAGATCACTTCGGAGGTATTATAGTATATACCACGGCATGTTTGTAGCCACGATAATGTAATCACTTTTGATATAAGGGTAAAGTCTCCTTTCTCTAGGGGAAGGTATGGCTACAGGGGTCTATTCACAATGTCTTTTGTATTATACTGATTACTGGTTTTCCTCTATATCTTCTTTTAATCCTAATTATTACTTGCATGTAAGATGCTGCTCGCAGCATTATTCTGTACACATTCTCTCCACTACACTTTACACTGGATTACCACGGCCGGTTGTTTTGATGTTTCCTAGCAACCGACTGCACGTACCTCGGCGTCATCACATTACAGGGGGTCACGTGCCCCTCATGAACACGTTAAGTTAACATCCGAAGTTACACTTGGATTGGTAAGTCAATTTATTCTTTACTGTATATATTGTACATTTGTTTGCTTCGCTTGTTGATCTTGAGGAAGACCCAGGTTAGGGTTGAAACGTCGATCAGGATAGAGTGTAAATTTTTGCTCATATGCAATAAAAGGTATTATTTGTTTTTCACAAAAAACCTGTGAGTGCACCACCTACTTCATTACTGACACACACACCTACCTTTAGAAGCTTTCAGTAAATGTTCTCCACATTTCTAGCCTTTAAAAATTTCATTCCAAAATGATTATATTTTTTTAATGAAATAACTTGGTCCTACAATTGATTTTTTATTTTTTTTTGTCAATCTTTCTTTTATTGAGACAAATGAATTGGGATACAGAAATAAAAGGGAGGTAGGGCATGTGCCCATGTCTAGCTGGGCAAAGAGCCTTTCTAAATTGGCATTTCGCGCTGCGTGACTGTCCGATCGCCAGGTATAGTGCTAAGGACACTCTTAAAACATTTATTGTGATTCTACCTAATCTGGCCAGCTCGCTTGGACATATGAATATAACCCTGTAGACATTCTATTCACAGGCTGATATATAGGCTTATCTGGTCTCACGTTTTAGGCTGAGCTGAGGCTAGTTACTACTGCACATGTAATACTGATTGGTTGTAGTGAACAGGTAAGCTTCCTATTTGCATGCTAAAAAAGTTAAGCTTATCATACACTACAAGAGTTCTACGTAGCTGTAAGCTGTAATGGGCTATTAAGTAAGGTATGGAGAACCTTAGTACAACAGGGTGCAGCCAATATAGGCTGGGTTTGTGATCGGTAGGGTGGACAGTCCAAGTGGGATTTCCGCTGAGCAGTGAAGTCCACGGCTGGAAGCTGCTGGATGTAGCCCCCCCGACCTTTGTGTCCTTAATCAGCCAATGCCCAGGCGAGGTGTGGGGGTACCATGCGTTTGGGGTGACCCCTGGGGCATGGTGGAATGCGGATGTTGGCGGGCCGCCTTCTCGCCCCAGGCCCTGAAGAGGGCCGGCGCCTGCAGCCCACAGACTTTGGTTCCTCGAGGCCAGGTCTTCCTTTTTTGGGTGCCCAGGAGTGCCCGGTTGTTCTGCTGCCGCCAGCGGCGGTTGGGCCTCGGGCAGTGTGGATGGCGCCTTGTAGGTGTTCTCCGGTTGGCCCTCGGTCTAGGATGGCCTGTAGAGTGTGGGGTAGTTGCGGTTCCATGTGTTGTGCCTGAATGCGTCCTCTTCCAATTCCGCCTCTCTTTCACCTCAGCATAGGCGTGGGGCTTAGGCTTTTTGCCCCTCCAGAGTTCCCTTCGGATGGAAGTTTTGACTATCAGATGCCTCTCAGTGTGGGTCCTCTGTTTGGTACGTAGGCAGATTTTCGTGGCTGCTCTCTGATTGATTCGGTGCCAGAATTTGCGGCAGACGGCCTCAAACATGGATTCAAATAGGGCCCTCCATTGACCTTCGCCTTCGGGCTCTCGGGCTGTCATCAACAGTAGTTTCATGGTAAGTGTGATATTGTGTGCCCGGAGTCTCCTGAGTATAGTTTCTGCCAAGTTTTTTGCGTATGAGCCCAATATTTAAGCTCAATATTACAATTTTCCTTGTTTTCATGCAGGAGCTCAAGCTGTGCACGTCTGCTTGGCTTGACAGTCAGGCTCCGCCCCCCCATCAATTGATTTTTATAAATAACTTCCAAGTTCATAAAGGGGAGTAATCACCATGGTAGCATTCCTGTCCATTGCTCTACTTTTAGAATTGCGCTCTACAAATAATGCTCACATTTATGACAGTTTTATTTTTGTTATGTGTAAATATCTGAATGGCATTTGCCATGGTTTCCCACAATGGACTGTTTTAGAATAGAGTGTTCCAATAATAACAAGATACAAGAGAAGCAATGCTGGGTACTTACCACAGCAAGGGATATCCTCTTCGGTGGATGAGGTATGATGTTCCTCCACAGACTGTTTCTTTTTAGAGAAACTGATAATTCTAGTGATTTTCTTTCCTGCGGCACGGCTCATGGATCCTTTCAGCTCAGCAAGCCCGCTTCTTCGACATTTCCCTGTGAAAATTAATTTGTGTTCTTTCTTTGTGTTCGAAAACATCTATTTTTCACAATAGTTAAAGGACCACTATAGTGCCAGGAAAACATACTCTCCAGCGCCGGGCGGGGAGCTTTCCTCCTCCTCTCCTTCCTAGCGACGTCATCGGCTGAATGCGCATTCAGCCAGTCTCATAGGAAAGCATTCATAATAATTGGGATAGCCTCTGTGGAAATATAATTCACAATGCTTTCCTATGGACGCTGGCGTCTTCTCACTGTGATTTTCACAGTGAGAAGCACGCAAGCGCCTCTAGCGGCTGTCAATGAGACAGCCACTAGAGGCTTTAGAGGCTGGATTAACCCTCAGTGTAAACATGGCAGTTTCTCTGAAACAGCAGAAAGGGTTAATCCTATCTGGACCTGGCACCCAGACCACTTCATTAATCAGAAGTGGTCTGGGTGCCTATAGTGGTCCTTTAAGCAAAGCTAAGACAAAATAACAATGCAGGGTCATCCACTTACAAATATAAAAGCCACACTTTAGTGTTTGTATTTCCAACAACGCTGGGTTGTGGTCTGCCTCTTCACACGTCATCCAATGGTGGGTTGGGGGGTGGACCTAATGCACATTGCCTCAATGCTATCCTATTTTTCTGACCCTGGACTTCGTCGTGCAGAGTGCAAGTACGTCCAGCATAGTTTCACAGAGTCAAACTCTGTGAAACTCCAAGAAGCGCCTCCAGTAGCGGTCTGGTATACAGCCATTAGAGGCAGTCTTAGTCCTGCAATGTAAATACTGAAGTTTCTCTTAAATGGCAATGTCCTACATTGCAGGACTAAAGGGGGACAATTAACAAAATATGGGGCACCTGCCTGTGGGCCCCCATTAATACTTCCACTCTTGCTTCATGGGTGGGGATTAAATATATTAATAGATCACCATAGCTACTGAAAGTGTTCATTTCAGTGGGACTTGCAAGCATAAATAAATGCAAAAATGAATAACATGATTATTTAAAGTTAATATGACTCACCCGTCTCCCTGTTCTCTTTCCCACTGCTGGGAGAGCCATTATCTCCATTTACTGCACTGTCAGAGTCAGATGTCTTATCATGGGATAGCCTCTGTGGAAATATAAACAGGATAATGACTGTAAAGCACATTCTTGCAGATTACATTAGTGATACTGGAATTATTCAGGTTTGGCTACGGATTACTGGACCTCCAGGGAAGCGTTTAGTTGGTGAGTAAAAAGAGAAGCTTGAACACACTTCCTGATCAGTTACACCTGCTTATTCTCTTCCCAGCCAGCTTTGCACCTATAGATATTGATGGTGAGCTATAATTCTGCTCACAGTCAGGAACACTATCAATTTTCCTCTTCCTTTTATCACAGCACCCTCCAGTGCAGTGGTTCCCAACCCAGTTCTCAAGTTCCCCCTACCAGTCCAGGGAAAGGGAAAGGAGGAAACACTTTAGACACAACAGGGCAATCCTTAAAACCTGGATTGTTAGGGGGTACTTGATGACTGGGTTGGGAACCACTGCTCTAGTGCAAAATAGAGTCAGCATCTGCTCATATAGGATATATTGGTTTTCCTTATATTTTTCTTTTAGTTTGTAAATAAATATTGGTATATCCATTTCAGTGGCAACCTCATATAACAAGAGTCAAATACATGGGCACCATTTGTCTACCAAGACAATAACACCTGACATTACTTGCACCACTTTTATAATTTACGAAGAATGAATTATTGGTAATTTTTCATTCAAGAATTCCTACCAAAAACTTGCACTTGCAAAAAATAAAATAAAAAAAATAAATAAAAAAGTGGCACTCCACAGTCCTGAAGACAGTGTTACATTTATTAACTTAAACGCTGACATAATAAACCAGTAATATAAGTTTGTTTATTTGCAACCAAATCGGATCAGTTTTCAGGTGTTCTGAAAAATGTTCTATCTTCAGCAAAAATCCTTCAGCATCATGCCGAATCATTTTTGCTGAAGATAAAACATTTTTTGGGACACCCAACTTCAGTCAGACGTCAGTTCAGTGCAGTCAAATGTCGTTTTAAGAACCAAATGATAAATCAAAAAAAGTGCAAAAATTTAACCAATCTGCTACAAAGTATATCCGCAATACAAGATTATGTAAATATTGCGCAGTACGCGGATAGGAGGATTTTATTTCCATTTGGTTCACAGATCAACTGGGAAAAAAAAAAAGTAGCCAATTGAGGGAAAAGCAGAGAGTTTCTTTTTTTTAATATATTCTACAGGTGATACTCGAAAAATTAGAATATCGTGCAAAAGTTCATTTATTTCAGTAATGCAACGTAAAAGGGGAAACTAATATATGAAATAGACGCATTACATGCAAAGCAAGATAGTTCAAGCCGTGATTTGTCATAAGTGCGATGATTATGGCTTACAGCTCATGAAAACCCCAAATCCACAATCTCAGTAAATTAGAATATTACATGCAATCAATAAAACAAGGAGTGTACATAGAACAATATAGGACCTCTGAAAAGTATAAGCATGCATATGGACTCAGTACTTGGTTTGGGCTTCTTTTGCAGCAATTACTGCCTCAATGCGGCGTGGCATGGAAACTTTCAGCCTATGGCACTGCTGAGGTGTTATGGAAGACAAGGATGCTTCAATAGTGGCCTTCAGCTCTTCTGCATTGTTCGGTCTCATCTTTCTCTTGGCAATGCCTCATTGATTCTCTATGGGGTTCGAGTCAGGCGAGTTTGCTGGCCAATCAAGCACAATAATCCCACGGTCTTTGAACCAGGCTTTGGTGCTTTTGGCAGTGTGGGCAGGTGCCAAGTCCTGCTGTAAAATGAAGTCAGCATCCCCATAAAGCTTGTTTGCTGAAGGAAGCATGAAGTGCTCCAAAATCTCCTGGTAGATGGCTGCGTTGACCCTGGACTTAATGAAGCACAGTGGACCAACACCAGCAGATGACATGGCTCCCCAAATCAACACAGACTGTGGAAATTTCACACTGGACTTCAAGCATCTTGCAGTGTGTGCGCCTCTCCATTCTTCCTCCAGACTCTGGGTCCTTGGTTTCCAAATGAGATGCAAAAGTTGCTCTCATCAGAAAAGAGGACTTTGGACCACTGAGCAACAGACCAGGTCTGTTTTTCTTTAGCCCAGGTAAGACGCTTCTGACGTTGTTTGTTGTTCTGGAGCAGCTTGACAAGAGGAAAACGACATCTGAAACCAATGTCCAGGATCCGTCTGTGTGTGGTGGGTCTTGATGCACTGACTCCAGCCTCAGTCCACTCCTGGTGAAAGTACCCAACACATTTGAATGGCCTTTTCCCCGACAATCCTCTCGAGGCTGCGGGCATCCCTGCTGCTTGTGCACCTTTTTCTTCCACATAACTTTCTATTAATGTGCTTTGATACAGTACTTTGGGAACATCCAACTTCCCTCGCAATTACCTTTTGAGGCTTTCCCTCCTTATGAAGGGTGTCAATGATGGTTTTCTGCACAACTGTCAGGTCCGCAGTCTTCCCCATGATTGTGATTCCTACTGAACCAGACTGAGAGACCATTTAATGGCTCAGAAACCCTTGGCAGGTGTTATGGCTTACTTAGCTGATTAGAGTGGGACACTGTGAGCCTAGAATATTGCACCTTTTCACAATATTCTAAATTACTGAGATTGTGGATTTGGGGTTTTCATGAGCTGTAAACCGTAATCATCGCACTTATGACAAATCATGGCTTGAACTATCTTGCTTTGCATGTAATGCGCCTATCTCATATATTAGTTTCCCTTTTTACGTTGCATTACTGAAATAAATGAACTTTTGTATGATATTCAAATTTTTTGAGTATCACCTGTATTTAATTTTGCACTGCTCCCTCCCCTCCACCCCCCACTTTCTATTGCTGTCTCTCACCCATCAGTTTTTTTTTTTTATGTTACGGGCGTAATTCGGAAAAATTGAACATGCATTTTAGTTACTCTGTAATGCGGGCATATTTCGGCCTGGAATTTGGGAATTCTGCTTTACAATCATTAGACTAGAAGCGCGCCCGCAAATCACTAGGATTCTTAAAGGGGAAGTATCCAGGAAGCAGGTAGGATACCATTTAATCCTGCTCATACCTGCTACCTGTATTCTGTGCTCCTTGCTGTGATCAGTTACTCCTTGCTCCTGCTCTAAATATACGGTACCTAAACTTTGTCTAGTCTACTGTTTACGAATCTGTGTTGTCACCCTATTGCCTGCCTGAACTCGTCTCTGCCTTATCCCGGTCTGTACCTCGCTTCAGACAGACATTCTCAGTTTATTACTGCGTTGTGGGCTTTATTTACTAAACCATAACAGAAAGGCATTCTTACCTTGTCCAGATCCAACTTATGTTTTAGAGCTGGGGAGGCGCAAGAGCTTCCACTGTTTGGACTGCTAGCTTCTTTGATGACCTGTAAAAAAAAAACAAAAAAAAAAACAACTATGATGACTCAGAGGAACATAAATATAAAGTAAAACATTAATAATTCATAATCATTAGCAACAACTTTAACTAAATGTTTTTAAGTAAGTGAAGTATTTTTTGTAGATCATGCCCAGAACTGTACCTACGAGTTAATTAACTAAAACCCAGGGCAACTCAGTACTTTAAGGATATTAGGGTCTCTATATGAGCCACCAATAGATAAATTATTTCCTTTGGCCTTTATAATAAAAGAGGTATGAAAGACCCAGTGTACTTCTATACATATGTAGAATAGGTTTTTGGCCAAATCCTGGGGCCTCACCCGTAGCCATTCTTCAGCCTGCTCCCGACTCTGTACAGCCAAAACCAGCACCTCTGCATTGGGGAGCATAAAACGTAGCTCGTGTTTCTTCCGGCGCCCATCCTTGGCTACATAAGACACATTACACAGCTTTAACGGTATGTCCAAGTGAGGATGCTGGTCCTTGGAACTTTTATAACACTAGAAAAAACACACAAAAAAAATAAAAAATTAAAATTATTAATGCTTACAAAATATACAAACATGTACAGGTATTCAACAAGGCAGCATTAAGCTTTATTATATCTCCCTGCACCACACACCGCTAACTACTAAACATCAGTTACTCCAGAACGGCTAGATTAAAACTATAGCGCTAGGATTACAGGTTTGTATTCCCAACACAATAGGGTTATATTTTTTTTTTTTCTCATTTCTCTATTTTTCATGTTCTGGTATTACATGCACTAAATTGTTTTTAAACAGGTTTTAAGGTTTTTCTTGAAATAATTACAAACTGGTTGGAAGCACTGGAGGCTAAAGGGGGATTCGGAATCATAAAGAGTTTTGTGCTGGGTTTTTATACATGCTAGGTTCCTGAGCACAGACCACTCTCAGCAAAGCTTAACACAAGGCTGTGAGGAATTCTCAAAATAATTTGCTGAATTATTGGGTTAAAAAAAACCATAAAAAATACCACATGCATTATGGTGTAAGCTTTCCAGACTACGTGTAAAATCCTAACTCACACGGGCACTTAAGTGTTCTGATGCCTTTGCAGCCTTAAAAGCTTGCCAATTAATACAGTGCTGCTAGCAACTAATTACATTATGATTAACTTGACAAAATTTGCCTTTTTTCTTGGTTACAATGAAGCCACGTTTCCACTGACTAGCATTTGGACGACGTTGCCGCATATGGCTTCCACTGCATGAGACCCATAAGTGTAAATTCAGGATATCCTTTCAGGCAGCTCAAAATATTTTCATTTAGTTGTATAATTGAACAAAATAAATCTTATTCCTTCCTTTGTAGATTATGGCTAATTTTTTTTTTACCTCATCAAACATTCAACTAAAGAGGGTCACACAAGGCATTAATGACAATGCACTCCAATAAAGTCATTTAAGGGGTTAAACAAACAGATTGAATGTAATCCACAGTACCATGTAAAAAATCTACAGCAGTCTTGAGTGGAATTACAACTCACGTGTATATGGTACATTTCTTATTCACCGTTGTCAGGGCACCCTTAAATGTGCATAAATAAGCAAATATTTGGCTAACGTCAGTGAGAAAGCATAATAGATAGGGCTCTATCTTCACTATCCCAGTAGCAGGGCCAACTCACTCAGTTCATTGACATTGGGAGGATGAAGGGCTAAGTTAAGTAGGCCAATAATACCACCTAGCCTGCTTGTAAAATGTTTCTTACATACCAGCAACTTGTTATCTCTGATAAGCGTTAGCTGTTTGGCCCACTGTCCAAAGCGTTTCTTGCGCAGGAGGAATGCACAGATCCTGCTGTCTCGAACAAGGTGAAGAGAGGCTTCTTGTGAAGGCCACTGATGCATGAGACGCTGAGCCTTGCTCTCTTCATCTTCCTCATCATACGACTCATATGAGCTGCTCAGGCCGTCAGACTCGTTATCTGTTAACACCAAGCAAAGCACAAGGTTTAAAACCAGCACAAGAGCACAGCAACAGTAAAACAAACAAAGGAATTCCTGCTTTTATATGTATAGAACAATTATTTATAGGAATATGTAGGGAGAATAAGCACTTCAGAACATATTTTGACTAATTTTAATTTTTAAAAACATTTACCAAAAACACGGTTAATGTTTTCATATATTAAATAGATCTATTACGATGACATAAAATGCAGCATTTAATAGGTATTCATATTGGGTGGTGCCTACAGGAGTTTTTCTGGTCCCCGTTGATGTGAGTCAGTGGATAATTGTTATCAGCTTCTTCATAGTATCCATCTTCTATAGAGTTGGGAGGGCTGGAGCTATCTGCAAAGACAATGTTAATTGTCAGAGTTCATTAGAAACAGAATTCACAGAAAACACTATATAATTAAAATAGAATATTTTTTAATCTGTGGTTTCCATTACAGATCCAGATGATCACTTACTACGAGATGTAATGTATTCTGTGAGCTTCCCTGGCCCAAGGGGTACAGCCTCTTCATAATAATCTTCTGGTGGTGGAGTGGTTGGTAGAGGAGGTGGTGGAGCTGATGGTGGTGATGGTGGCTGGGGTGATGGGCTCTCATTGGCTTCTCTGTACTCTTCCTGCATATCATGCAAATCGTGCAGGTCACAGTCTGCACAGAACAAAAAGATGCAGTTTCATTAAATATTGACCGTACAAAAAAAAAAAAACAACAAAAACAACCCCCCAAAAAAATATAGATCAGTCATGTCAAGCGTTAACAGCTTTTAGTCACCCAAAATATTAAAATGATGACTATTTTGAAACCGAGTAAGATGCATGATCATAAAAACGGTCTTAAAATGGCAATATATGTGCATTGCGTAATAAGAAGGGAAAGATTTGCCAATGCATAAAAACAAAATATGAGAAATTATAAATTTCAAACCTTAAAAAGTTAGCGATTTTAATTACTAAATAAAACTGTTAGAATAGAGTTTAAGGAGTAAACGTCAAGGCACTAACAGGGGTAGGCATACATTAAAGACATACCAAATTCCTCAAAGAGAGATTCCACAAAGCTGGTGCCATTGTGATAGGCGGCTGTGTTCATATATTGAAAGTTCAAGTCATCTCCTAGATAAATACAGAGCACAAGGTTAGAGGGAACTATGAAGATCGGAGATGTTCAAACAAAGTAGTCAACAACAAAAAAAACAGAAAAAAAAAAACACAACAGTGATTTAAACAATTATTTCCACTAGGAGGCAGCACATAACCAGAAGCAACAGTATCACTTGTGGCCACTATTCATTAAACAATAGATCTTAAATTGTAAACACACATATTGCTTGTGATCCATTGTGGTTAACGCAAGGTAGGCTGACTGACCGCTTGCTTTCTGCCTATTTTGGTAAATGTGGAATCCACCTGGTCTATTTATGACCACCATGGGCCATCTTTAAAGCAGGACAGTTTCATCTAAAATGTATGCACTTCACAACTTGGGCAGAGCATTTATAATAAAGAAATTCATTTTAATTTATGTTTAAATTAGTTAATTATTTAAGAACAAAGCATAGCTGTACAGGGCTTAATTTTCAGAGAGTAAAACCAATATTTCTGAAAAAAATAAATAAAAAAAATACAATATATATAAATAAAAATAATTTTTCCATGGTCTTAATGGACCATAATAGAACACATGTCAAGTCAAACCTTACATGTGGTGGAGAAAGTATCTCCTGCACTTGGTGTTGTGGGTGCTGGTACACACACATACATATTTGCTAGAGTATCAGGAACTCTAATTAATAAGAGCATGCTTTCATTCACTTGCTGGTTGTATCATTGGATATGTTCTGGAGTGTTGTCTTTAATGAGGGGACATATTTTAAACAGGCTAATTGATTTAAAGAGTCCTGAGGGATAGTTTAACCTGAGTAGGAGATTGGCCTTAACTGAGGTTTCAATCCCAGGGCTAGTTAAGTTCTAAATGTCCCCAAGGACTTGCTCTGCTCTGGAACTACAGAGAACATTCACCATATAATTCTAGAACCCATAGCTGGTGTGACCAGACGGGCTACTTGTGGAGAGCAATAAGATCATCAAAAAATTACTAAAAGTGTAGAATAAATAAAATAGAGAATAGTCTGGAAAAATCCAACAATAAAAAGCATGGCATTTAGAAAGTAACTTAAAGCAACTGTGTTAAAACCCTGAGGGCATGCTATTTCAGCTGCCAAATGTGAGCTGGGGAATTTGACATGGTGACAAAAATAAATCGAAGTATAGTACAAGTATTTATACAAAAATTAAAAGACTCACTTTTTTTTTAAAGTTTACCTTCTTGAGAAAAGTGTTAAAAAAATGCCTAGTAGGGGGGCGGAGCCTGGCAACCATGCCGAGCGGTCGCACACTACATGGGCTCCGCAACAAAAAACCCTTAAGCAGCTGAAATAAGAAGCTAAGCCTTTAAACTTGCCTGCTCAACAGCCCCAGCCTAAGGGGTCTTCAGCAGCGGCAGCAAACGCCAGAAGTGCCGACCGCAAGCGTCAATCTCACACCAGGGATCGACCTGAGGCCTACGGAAGGCCGGACTGGGCGGCGGCCGATCCTTTCACCGCAGCAGCCTTCTCGGCTGGAGGTCTCCCCGGGAAACTCTACCTCTACACTCTGCCGGTGGGGGACATCCCGGCAATCACAAGCGACGCCCCAGCACCAAGGAGCTGACCTGGCCCTACACGCACAAGAGACCAAGCGTGGGGAAAATCATGGCCACATGCAGCCTCGCGCCCAGCACCACGCTGCCCCCACTAGCGGAGAGGATTGACCGCCTGCTGAATGATTTTTGGGCCAAACTCACCCTCCACAGGGACACCCCCGAGGCGACGCTGCCTGCTAAGATCTCACGAGAGCCAGCACGGCAGACAGTAACCCCTGGATGGGGCCATGAAGCAGCCTGAGTCGCGGGAGGAGAGTGCGGGTTATCCAGCGAAAACATACACCAGACGCCACATAACCAGTCCAGTGGACTACCGCTGCACCCTCAGGCACCAGCATATTCAGAAGGTAACCCCTCCAGTCTCCTGGACGAAATCAAAGTCCACCACGCTACCCAAGAGATCGCGCCATACAGGGGGATCCCAAGAGCCTGTAACACACTGCAGCAGAACTAATGCACCGTGCTCAAGGGGGCGCAACAAGAGGAGGGACCAGCACGGAGACACAGCCGGAGATCTGCAGGGCAGCTTGAATCATCCGAGCAGACCTTACCTCCCTGTGGCATTCCCCCCTGACCACCTCATTCTGGCTTACACTTACATGTTCCCGGATACCGGGGTGGGTGAACGCCTCAATCTACGTGCAGGACTGATGTACCACTGCCAGTCACGACCATTAACCGCGGCCACGCTTCTCAGGCCAACAGTTTATACCCTGCAGTCAGCAGATAACAGTGAGACTCTCTACCGTAATCAAAGCATATGTGATTATGTGCCTATCCAGCCTAAATACTCCTAACAATGGAGACTTCACTTAATGAGGTTACATGTTTGCAAAGCTTATAGTTTTTATCTGCAAAGTTTATACTTTTTATATGCATGGTTACACATAATGGGCTACCTGCGGAGGGAGGTGTGAGGGCCTCATCTAGATGCAATTTAATGCTACAGATAAAATGCTCCAATGCACTACCCTAACTGCTGGACTAGCTATGAATCCCGAGATTACTCATGTTGCTTTTCACTTGACCCACGCTACGACCAAATTTGTTTATAGCATACACATATAATTTCAGCCGAAGCCATAATGTTACATCTGCTTATCTTATAAAAATGTGCCTGGTAATTAAATGCCCCGCATGTTACGCGAGGGAAACGCTTGAGGACTGCCTTTGGGGCACCCTGAGCCTGCTTGTACCTTTTATATGGACATGCAAAAAAAAAAAAAAGCCTAGTAAACAAAAAATGTCAAGCTTCATGAAGGTTCATTTAGTAACAAGCACGGCCCTTCAAGATACTTCCAAGTGACGTACAATTCAACTTTGAAAGTAAATCTCCATTGCCTAGGTCATAACGTTGCACTTATAGGCGGTTATATATAAAAAGGATATTTATGTCTAATATAAAGTTGCCTGTATTTTGATATTTTGTTCCTCTGATACCGTATCCAGCTTTATTTTCCACTTTGGAGGTTGAAGTTTTACTAAAAAAGGGAGCACAGAAGGAATGAAAAAAAATATAAAATAAAATAAATAAATGAGTCAATACTCTACAGGTAGATTTTATACAGAGATCGATCACTTTATTGTACAACTCTGGGGTTTGCTGACAGACTAATAATTTACCAGCCCAGAAGCCCACAGGGTAATGTAAATCCCCTGTTTTTCCTGTTGAGAGAAAGTAATATTACATTTTGTGGGAGAGACCCACATCTCCAGCCACATTTATAACAGACGCTGTACTATAGTATATCAAATCAGATGAAATATTACCAGCACAGATGATCAAAACCATCATGAAATAATGCTTTCATGTGTATTTGAAATTCCTATAAAAGATTAATTTTTTTTTAAGAAAAAAAAATAAAAAATTAAGAACCAGTTTTGTTGCATTCACATGCCCAGCATTTACAAGTTCCAAATTGCTACAATAAACAATGCAAAGGCTTGTGGGTAGTGACTAACAATTGAACCATTACAATCACTTGTACATCTGTATTTGTATTATAAGCTTGTAGCAACATGTCATATGTTTTTGTACTGCTGGTTCTAACCATAAGGAGGTGAGGTGGGCACTGAGACTATCAAATTATTCACAGTCGCAAAAGTGCTGTGGTAACAAGGGGCCTATTCCATAAACATCAAGTTGTGGTGACCTGCGAAACAAATATTTAAGGGAAATTGTTTTTTTCTTCTCTATGTTAATTTTGGAATTTTAGCTGCAATTCAGTTCTCAAGTTATCATAACAGGTTGTCTAGAGAACACGCCTAATTGTTCTGTTGTGAATCTACGATTATGAGTTATGTTCTTAGAAACAGATTTTCTGAAAAACGGGTACCAGGAGCGGGCTGTAGTTGTCTCAGGATGCTGCATACTGCGCTGTGCTTCTCTCTAGTGGTTGCACTTAGGAGCTCGTGATCTAGAAGCTTCAGAAGAACGTTAAGCTCAGGCAGCAGCTGGTCCAAAACTGCAACAGAAAAGAAAAATACATATAAATATACGGCACAGGATAGCCTTCAAATTATCAGTATAGGAAGCAATTGAAAAGGAAAGAAATACATAAAACATTTCTTTGTTCTTAAAAGGCAATAAAAACACAAAATTATATATATATATATATTTTTATTTTTTTTTTACTTTAGAACACATATACTCTACTCCTTTTTAAGAACCCAGTCAGTGAACGAAACCAGAAAGGTTTGCCCCCACTGATGGGTGGGTACAGTACTGAATCCACGTGGCATCCTAACCTTTTAGAATAGTTTTATGGAGTTTCTCAACAAAATGCCATTTTAAACTTGAAATAAATACTAATGAAGGTATAAGTTTGTGACCAGCATGTTAAAAAGAAAACATAATGAGGGGAGAGGTTATCAGCTTAGCAACTGAACCGATGTTTGAGTGTGGAGCTCTGGCTTCACATACTGGGTAACAACCCTTTTCCTGCAATTTTAATGGAATTTAGTGAACAAAACCTTGTAATCCACTGAAGAGAGATGGGGCAAAAACAAAATTTGCCCATTTGGAGAGAAACCGGATGCCTGATATTTGTCTTTTGACAAGCCTCCATTGCAGGCCTGGCCTAATATAGCAGCTGGATAACCACAAGGCTCCAGCGACTCAAGACTTTTCCCCAAAGAAAATGAAAGACCTCATGCCTTACAGGCTACTGGCGGTGTGTACCACAGGACTGACTCAGATGTGGACACCAAGAAACTTCTACTAGACCTGCGAAAGGTCATAAAAGCAGATCTTGCTGGGGTACAGATGTAGATTGGTGGTTTGCAGAGACATACTGGGGATGCGGAGTCCCGAGAAAGGACTAACAGATATCCACTCACAGGTGGAATCACTTACCAAACAGGTCTAGCTTCTCTTCTGTACTGTGGCATTAACTGGAGACACAACACTGCCAGAGAAAAGGTCAGATCTGCATTGGCATCAGAAAGAGTAGGCCTGGTGGCCTTGCTGGATTTTGTACACAAGAGGACACAGGCAATGTAGGTGAGAGGGGGAAGGTGGACTGTCACCTGTAGTGTCAGCATTCAGAATCATAAAAGGCACTGACCTCCCCTGCAGAAGCACCCAGGGTAATAAAACCCCTAGCAGGGCAGAAAAGGATGCCCAATCTCTACGGCTGCAGGCTCCCCCCATAGGACGTTTGGTGCTACCGGAAGGAACTCCAGGGTTGTGAAGCTCCTTTTACGGTTCATATGGAGCCCCTACCTACTTGCACTCTCATATTCTACGATCATTGATCACCCTTAGTTTAAAATTATTTGATAATCTAAATTTGATTTGTGAATTTTGTTTTGTTTCTATTGTTTGGATTTTTATATATGCCATACTCGTTTGTCGTTAAATGCCTTATCGAACCATACTGAATTGTGATCCAATCTATGTTTTGTGAATAAAAACTTGTGGAATCACACATAAAATAAAGAATTATTATTAGATATATATGTGTGAGTAAATTGTTTTATTTTTTTTAAAGCCGCGCTATTCAATAGATAAATCAAGAAAATATTCTGATACAACACATTTAGACAGGGCACAATTCACTCATTATAACCGTATTGTCAAACGAGGCTTATTTACACGTTCCATTTTGGGAGCTTTATTAAAGATATTAAAAACAATAACATACAGGTTTAACCCAGGTGTCATCAATTAGTGACGCTGCCCCCCAGTCATTGTGGAATATGGTTATCAAGTGATCATATACTGCTGGAAAGCAGGAGGAGGGGATTCCAATTAAATTCAGTTAGTTAGAATAGTCTTTCTGCATTGCAGCTGTCAAAGTAAAGAATGTACTATAAATGGGATCTTCCTTAGAACAGCACCAGGGGCAATGCATTAATGTATCCTTTTGATTACACTTGGAGAAAGAACTGTCAGGGGGTAATCTCGCCTTGAAGCATAGTTAAGAGTAAAATAAGCCCTATTTACTATTCAGAATGACATTTACCAATGAGGGATTGACGATCAACATTTGTCAGTTGAATTACGGATATAGATACCTACAGTTATTAACTGTAAACTGAATGATAGGAGACTGAGGAGTGCTGAGTGAAATGAGGTACATTCCAAAAAAATGCTGTTGAAACAAAAGATTTTTTTAATTTTTTCTTCATTTTTAATCGTTGCGGTTTGTGTTTAGAACATTAAAGCCCAGCTGCGGAATGTTTGAAATGTGAAGAGCTCTTAGGTAAAGTATCTAAGAACAGATATTAGTTTGGCCACAGATAGTTGAGCACCTTATCTAAGCTATTTCTAAACCACAAAACCTCAAAGCAAGTGTAAGGAGTAAGTATGACTAAGACGATTATCAGGAGGCCATAGACATGCATATATGCATTGGGTACAGCTCGGTGAGTCAGGCTCAGACTTTTTTCGGTCAGCTCTGAATCACAGGATACCACCATGCTAAGTACGGTACATCTGTGGACATTGTGGATACTAAATATCGCCTTTCTTTCTTGCCTAATTTTCTTCAAACAGTGGGTTCACTGAGTTAACTGAACAGAGGAAGCCACAAGGCTTTAACATTAAACTACTGTACAACCCTTCTGGCACTTAGGTTAAACCATTTAGCCCAGACACGGTCTACAGAACTACAATTTTCAGCATTTATTTTTCCTATCATGGATCCGAAGTGACTTCTAGAAGGCAGTTTGCTGTACACTCTCTCACAGAAAACCTATAGAAAAATGTACAGTTAATTTTCCATCAAACCTAGAGCAGCAGAGGAGGTGAGATTCAAGATAACTTTTTTCCCAGTTTGTTCCCCATTAAATTCTAGAAATATAGGGATTATTTTAGTACATTTCCATCTGACTAGTGTTCGTATGAGATGGAAATAAAGTTGGTTACGGACTTCAAAATCACCGAATTTGAACCTATATAACTCTGACCTTATAGAATGAGAAGGGAGAGAAAAGGGAATAGGTTACAGTCAAAGATTTTCTTTCCAAAGATAACTGCTATGTAATTGCTGGAATCAGACTGAAGGTTGGACATTTGGAGGACGTGCAAAAGATTTAAAGGGACACCAAAGTGAGCCAGACCACTTAAGCTCAATGAAGTGGTCTCAGTGCAATCTCTTTAACCCAGTTTATTTATTTTAAAAACTGCAATGTTTACATTTCAGGGTTGAAGTCACCTGCACTGACAGAATAAAAGAAGGTCACTTCATTCAGAAGACCATAAATAAGTTGTCCAATGTTCCTCAATTAGTGGAACTGAATTGGACTATCACAGAGTACGTTGCAGGAGGCAAACAGGGGAGCAGAGCCGAGTGAGTACGTTGCAGGAGGCAAACAGGGGAGCTGAGCCGAGTGAGTACGTTGCAGGAGGCAAAAAGGGGAGCTGAGCCGAGTGAGCCTCGGCATTGGAAAGGTTTGTAAGTTTTATTTGGGGAACAAAGCACACGGTGCTCCAACAAGGGAACAGAACACTGCAGCATTTGGAATACATGTTTGTTTGCTTATTAGCCCTATAAAGCATTGGGGATACAAACAAAACCAATAAATAAATAAAAAGATCCTCAGCAATACATTCTGGTGGTTTAATCAGCCCCCAAAGTGAAAGAGCAACGTTTCGACATGTATGTGTGTTTTTCTCAAGCCATATATATGCTTGTTGCAGTGCACAAAAAAACTTGTAATTTGTATTTGAGTGAGTGACACACCATTTACTTACAGATTAGGGCTATACACTATTATTGTCTAAAGTGAGAATTCAAGGTGAATTTTAAATTTAAAGTCAAAATAACCAAACAAATCTTTCATGTCAGTTATGCTTTCAGTTTGGCTACTCTGACCTTCAATTTGAAATGCTTTTTAAATTTACTTTGAATTCTCAATTTAGTGAAGAATGTGGATAGTGTTCCTATAATAAGTAGATCTCAATTGCTTCCCCACAAAAAACCCCAAACAAAACTAAATATATAATAAATTAAATAGCAGGTAAAAAATAAATATACAAGCATCTAAAAAAAATTATTTTTCTTTTTTTTTTTTTAAATGCACATTTATATGCAGAGTAGCCACCCCTTGTGACAGCCATTTGTAGGCAACTGTCTCACTGCCTACTGGAAAATCCTGTCTTTATCAGAATCCGTGGTAACTCAAAATACGACTTGGACAAGGTTATCTAATCACATCTATATTTTACTCCACAAAACAAACCCATATTGTAGGTCATCTCCAAATCTGATCTACAGAGTGCAACATATCAGTAGGCAACAGATTTGTTTCAGAGGTGAAGGGTTAATGCTATATAAACAGTCCCTGGGATAAGACCAGGTCCAGCAAACAATACTGGGAAAACCTAGACTGAAAACACACACAAAGAAAAAAAAGCTAAAAACAAAAAATTAACAAAGCAAGAGTTTGTAATGTGCAGGGGGTAGGGCACCTGAAGAAGCAAAAAGAATCAGCCTTTTCCTTCCAAAGAACTCCCTCTTTTCATACCTCGTATTGCAACTTCCTCTCAAATTTCTCATTATTGTGTAACCCAGTTATTCATGCATTCACTCATTGAATGAAAGCAACCTGGAGACCGGGAGGTATAGGGATTGAATAAGTGGCTACAAACCCACCCTTCCTCCAAGACTTTGTTTTCTTAGACCAATTCTAGGTTTTGTTAGACCTTCTATACAGAATTAAAAGACATAATAGCGGGAAAGTATTATACAAGTACGTCCAAATATCTCATGTCAACTTATTTTGGGCAAGTTAAAAAAAATTGCAGTATTTTTCTCAAGAATTGATGGTGTAATGAAGTATCGATTGGGTTTATCCAGATCTGCCTTAGAAAGTAGACCGTTTCCATTTTATTGCAGAATTGTGCCAAGATGGAATTATTCCCCCCACCCCACCCAATACAAGGACATTATGCACCTCTTATAGGCCATAATATTTTTTTGTAATAGTTTATGTTCATTTTAAGGAAGCGTGGAAGTAGGTTTAGTGAAGTGTAGGGAATAACGGATAGTGGGTGGGGTTAGGGTTTTTAGATTGTAAGCCCATTTGGACAGCGCCCTTTTCACCTACTGTTCCTGTATTTCGAAACAGTTCATTTAGAATTCCGTCTTTGTCTTGTTTTGCATAATGTATAGCGCTGTGGAATATGTTGGCGTTGGGTAAATAATTGTAATAGTGTATTGTAGTGTTGTGTAGGGATATTGGGAGACTGTTACTGTTAGGGCAGTTTAATATGCTTTACAGTATATCCCTTTCCTTTTTAATAAAACTGAAAAAAAACCAAACAAACAACCCCTCTTGAGAAGTCAACAAGTGGGGGGAATATAATTTACCATTCAAAACCTCGAGTCTGTCTGAATTATTTTAGGGAACGATAAAGGGTCGTATAGATGGTGCCCAAGAGGCTGAGAGGGTAGGGAAGTTTAACCCTGGGTTTTTGTCCTCCCAGCCTTCCCTAAAGTAGGTTGCGGAAATATAGGACAAAGTAACATGAACAGAAAAGGAACAAACGATACGAAGAGGAATAGCTAAACACAGGCAGGCAGGCAGGCTGATTATTATTATTATTATTATATTATTTATATAGCGCCAACAAATTCCGTAGCGCTGTACAATTGGGTGGACTAACAGACACATAATTGAGATCAGACCACTGACGTACAGGAACAGAGGGGGTTGAGGGCCCTGCTCGATGAGCTTACATGCTAGAGGGAGTGGGGTATAGTGACACAAAGGGTTAAAGTAGGGGAATTAAATAGTTTGTTACAGAAGGGTTTATTCAGGCAGGCCTCAAGTAAATCATGGTGTTAGTAAAGATAAATTACAATGGAAGCTTTTCGTTGTATGCCAGTGCCATGTACATCATTTGGATCCCTGGCAAGATTGTTTAAAAGCAACTTGTGTAAATAAAATATTCTAAAAAGATCGCAAAGTTTATTTAAAAAACTCTCAGATCTGATCTAATTTCTTGTTCTTTTTTTTTATGGACCAGACTGCATTTCTAACTAGTCATTTTCCTGGATTCCTCATGTAAAGCACTGATGACACATGCTGTCTGTTCCACCAAGCTGCTGGTGAAGACAGTGTCCACAGAAGTTGGACAAACGCTACCAGCTTCGCAGGACCCTCGGGCAAGTTTTGTCATCCTCATTCATCAAGTAACCATGGTGTGTATGTAACAAAGGAAAGTACCTGAGTCATTTCATTTCTGCTGATGCCATCACTATAGGGTGTAAAAAAATAAATAAAAATAACCGGAGCTTTGCCGCTATTGCAGAATTTAAAATAATTGGTCATTTATCAAGTGTCAATAAGTTACATAATAGACAAAGTAAATAATTATTGGGGCAACCAACCACTTCAATCAATACTAGCAAAGAGCATTACTTAGGACTCATTGTAGGCTTTCACTATCTAGAAAATACATAAACGTACCTTAAAACATTGGTGCATTCATTAAATCATTAAACCAGGGACTGTTAATTGACAAGTAAATATATTTTTTGCCCAAAAGTGTTTAATTTTTTTTTTTTTTATGGGGGGGGAGGGTGGAGGAGGGTAGGCAGTTAAAGGAACACCGTACACATGAATTGAAGTGGTTATGCTGCCTGTATAGTGACAAACTAACATGACATCCTGATATGTTAAAATGTGAATTCACAGTCTTTATTGGGTATAAAAGCAGGCAAATAAACATTAATAACTAACTCTGGCTGCATCATTCAGGATGAGAACACTGGTTGGAATATGCATGACACAGTTCACACTTAATATTTGCTACTGTGCTGGATCTAAATAAATGATCTGCCCCACTCCTCTTAACAAAGCACTGCCCTTCCTGCCACCACCCTTCTAAACACATCAGCAGACACTGCACATCTATCTATGCAATTCTTCTGTTTCCTTCCAGTTATCTGTGGCCAAGTGAAACAAGGACTGCAGAAATCTCAGCACTTTTCCACCAAGGTTTAGGGGGTTATTAACATTACTCTAGTTTTTAGCTCTGGCACAAAGACAGGCAGATTTATCAATGAAGTTGTTCCTCTGCGTCATGCCGGAAAAACAATACACTAAAAAACTGGATTCAGGCACCGAATAGGAAAACCTGGCAGTCTGGCTGCCTTGTGCTTCACTAATGCAGGATAGGAAAATTTACTTCACGGCAGCTTTAGTCCCAAATATGTCCTTTTACTGGTTGTTTTGCAGACTATATAACTACATGAAGAGTAAAATTGTTGTAAGCGGCAAGAGCCATTATGTACCCAGTATGCATGCATGACAGATTTATAAAGAGCACAATGTCTTCAATCCAGAGTGTTCAACAGGAACATTCTATGGGATAGTTCTATTTTCACATGTGTTCCATGATCCATAATCCTGGTTGTGCTTTAGAGGTTAGAAAACCAATGGAAGTAGAGGCTGTTACAATGTTTACTTAGAACAGTAGTTTTTAACTCCTATGTCAGGACCGAACAAGTCTCCTTATCATTTTATGTTAAACACTGATACAGAAGAATGGGTCACAGTCAAAAGGATAAAACCCACGGACCTAGAAATATACAAAGTGGAAATTGATCCACAAAATGAGGATTGAGACTGTAAACACAAACAACAACAAAAAACACGCCATAGATCATTATGTACATTAGGGCTCAACAAATCTGGGATTTGTCAGCCCACTTAGCTCCAGAAGTTGCTTGCTGCTTGGATCCAGGTGGCCATTCCTATAGGAATGCATTAGAAAGCTATTGTGCACGTGTGCCAAAACGCCACACTGGGCCAATCAGCATCTCCTCATAAAGTACATTGATTCAATGCATCTCTATGTGGAATGTTTAGCGCCTCCATACAGAGCGTGGAGACGCTGAACGTAGGTGCTACGCACTGTGCAGCACTGACCCAGAATGCACCTCTAGATGCCGCCTGAGTGACTGTCACAAGGCAACAATGTAAAACACGGCCTTTTCTCTGAAAAGTCAGTATTTACATTGAAAAGTGTGCAGGGACAAACGATAGACAACAGAACAACTACATTAAGCTGTAGTAGTTCTGGTGACTATAGTGACTTAAGAATTGTATTTTTGACATTGAAAAACCTGGTTCCTCAAACACGCACTTCACTGTGTTCTGCCATGCATGTTCATCCTGATTACTTAATCCAAAAAATGTGCAATGCTCTCTATGCCATAATGTTGTTCTCCTGTGTATATCGTTCAGTTTGCTCCAGCTGTCGTGGCAAAGCAAACCTGCTTGTTAATCATATGCACAAATAAAACAAAGAATCCAAAAAAAAAAAAAAAAAACTTTGTTCCTAACTTTTTGCTGGCTCATAGATTCCAAGCAAAATGTTCAAGCCCGGATGTACATAATCTCAAGTTACCAAAATGGTATTAGAATTGGGATAGAATATTTAATACGAGGAGTAATAGCTTCTTAAACCAATAGAGATCTGACTGCCCTTCTGGGGTCAGAAAGGAATTTTTTTCCCCAAAGTTTGTTGCAAAATTAGAAAGCCTTCTTTTGGATCAACAGATGTTATAAAGGCTGAAAAGAAACATGCGCCCATCAAGTTCAGCCTATGCAACTATGTAACTAAGTGGCTCTCAGCTTAAAGTAGTGTGTGCCCTTAGTGGTTACTGCAATAAGGGACCTTGCTAGTAATCCCCACCTTGGATAGATTTCTCCAGTTTTCTTGCGTACTTACCATAAGAGGACAACTTTGCCTTTTCTTTCACTTTCTCTCTTCCAGCATCCCGTCCATATCAGGGGAGACCACCATACCTGTTGATAACCCTTAATCTCTACCAGCTCTAATATTATTCCTTGCCGCATTCTCAGACCTCAAACAATGCACATCTCTAACATGTTGTGACTGACATTCCGTTGACCTTGGGGTCTCTTGTCTGGTATAGTGACAACTTTCTAATTTACTGCTTTCATCTTTTCATGCTGTCACTCTACTATCATATGGCCCTATCACTCACACTAGCTAAATGCCCTCTCTATACCTACAGAAATCTCAGTGTCACAGGGGCCAGTAGATTATTTCAATAGCTTAACTTGGGTGGCATTTTTGACAAAGTGCGGTTTATTACGAACAATCCAAATATTAAACTTTCTAGAAAATGTTTGCCGTCATTTACAGAACAGAACTCTATTTCAAAATAAAATGAGACAAGGCATATTACAGAATACATGGAAATATGTGACTTTTACAGCTGGTGTCTACAATATCCTATGCAAATAAGTGATGTCAGTGAAGATTTGACAAAAATTTATTGGAAAACGAGAGGGAGGAAATTCCATAATTAGAGATAAAAGCAGGAAAACAAATCACAGGAGAATGCCTGGAAAAAATAAATTAATAATAATAAAAAAAATTATATATACACACACACACACACATATCTATATCTATATATATATATATATATATATATATACACACACACACACACACATATCTATATCTATATCACCTGCAGTAACAGAAAGGTTACTCAGTGTACAGCTTGGAAAGAATTCAGATGCTCATCCCACATGGGACAAATAGGTTTGGCAAAAACAGGCAAATCACTTCAAACAAACAAGACAGCGAGTTGCAACAATATAGTGAAACCAATAGTATAAAACCAAGCCTACATGTAGGTTTTGCTGCACTCTTTGCAAAAAACTTTGGTTAGGAAGTCAATGAGTGTATTGCCTTTCCAGTATTTTGGGGGCTAAACCAAACCTCATTGGTCCTAAATATGGGAGATTTTGTTGGAGCTTATGTCTTGATAAAGTCAGAACGTGTACAAACCATTGGTGAATCTAAATTGAAGTTCCCCACATTTTTTATGTGTATCATTGAGAATGCATAGTTTGGCCAAATATAAATCTCATTGTGATTTAAAAAAAAAAAAAATCTGTATTGTTGGATATGTTTAAAAGAATACTATGGTCACAAAAACAACTGATTAATAAAGCAGTTTTGGTGTATAGATCACGTCCCTGCAGTCTCACTGTCATTTAGGAGTTAAATCACTTTGTTTACACATCCCTAGTCACACCTCCCAGCATGTGACTTGCACTGCCTTCCTGAACACTTCCTGTAAAGAGTCATCTTATGTTTACTCTTCCTTTATTGCAAATTCTGTTTAATTTAGAAGGTCTCATCTCCTGCTCTGTTAATAGCTTGCTAGACCCTGCAGGAGCCTCCTGTATGTAATTAAAGTTCAATTTACAGAGGAGGAGATAAAAACGTTTAAAGTAAAATACATCAGATTGAAATGGAAACCATTTTGTTTTCATGCAGGCTGTGTCAGTCACAGTCAGGGGAGGTGTGGCTAGAGCTGCATAACCAGACACAATAGGGATTTGACTTCTAAATGGCAGAGAATCAAGCTGTAAGACTTCAGAAGCATGATCTATATACACTAAAACTGCTTCAACAAGCTAAAGTTGTTTCGGTGACTATAGTTTTCCTTTAAACAACACTAAAAAGTGTTAGTAAAGCACGAACTGTTAAACCTTCTTTAAAAAGATTAGAAATATGACTGCCACTAGCCCACACACAAAGGCAACACTTGCCTATATATTTGTCAAACTGCAAGTGTGTGTAAGGTGACTAAGATTTCAAAGTTCAATTATCAGCAAAATAACAAAAAAAGCCATGTGTCAGGAGGTCACAAAATGTTTAACACACTTAAAGTAGGCAAGGATCACTTTCTCAGTGTGTAGCCCAGATTGCATTGTTAGGATAGGGGGCTGTGGTCCATAGATCAGCATAGAAGAAGAAGAGGTTGCAGTATGGGAGCATAGTAGATCTCACGTTTCCTCCTGGCATGGAGCTACTTTACCTTAGGATCAAATTACTCTTTGGGGAAAACAGGCTCCCTTTGAAGTCTTATTTGCAGACCAGCAGATTAATAGCCACTGATAACCGAGGCAATGAGCAAAAAGATGAAACAGCTCTCAGGCCTGCAGGATAGTAAGCCAAGCAATGCCACAGTGTGCAATGTTACTGCCTTGCTTAGAGTAATTCGTCTGCAGGATTGGGAGCCAAGCAATGCCATCCAAAAAATGTTACTTGGAGGATTTCTCCAGCGGTACAGAGACCTGAACAAAGCCACAGAAATACAGTGTTACAACCTTGATTAGAGTAATTATTCAGCTGTTAGGAATCTAGGCTATGCACGGTTACCACCTTGCATTGAGGAATTCTCACTTAGTCACACACAATGCCATGGGGACACAGTCCTGCTTTAAAGTGCCTATGAGTGACAGTAGAAGGACTGATTGACTTTAAAATAGAGCGTCAAACTATAACCCCTGTGGATACTGGAGATGCTGAAGAAGACTAAACCCTATCACTGCCAGACAGGCGTCACAATCCAAAGAATCTTGCACGCAGGTGTACCCTACCTAAACCACCTCATTCCTTGTGGAGTCCACATCATAATTATAACACCAACAGTAAAAAGGGAATAAAGATGGATGGAAGGTAGGTCATGAGTTGAGGTGGATTAACGGGAGTGGTAGAATTAATATGGAGGGAGATTAGAATGCCCTTGGGGACAGCTGTGTGGTGAGATACATTAAATAAGGGCAGCAATGGAAACAAAAAAAATACAAATAAATAATTATAAGCAGAATGATGGTGGGGATTTCATGAAGTGAATAAGTCTTGGGGCCTAGATATGATTGATTGTAAGGTTGTAATACGTGTATTGAGAGGGAATGAACGGCTATCGAATAAAATAGGAGTGATTAACAAAGCAGAGAGCAAAATGAGACCAAAATAGCTTTAAAATAACTAACTAATAAAAGAAAATTAAAAATAGACACCTCTCCAAAAACAGTAGACTACTACAGTTTGTAAGTAATAAATATTTTTTTCAAAGCAGTATACAAGAAAGTTAAAATTATCGAGGATTCCTCATTAGTCATTTTCAGATGTTCCTGTAGCATATAACGTGAATATAAGAAACCATATTTAGCAATCAGCTAGTAAAATGTAGGTTTGGATAATTATTAACAACACATTCTATCTAAAATAGAAACATAGAAACATAGAATGTGACGGCAGATAAGAACCATTCGGCCCATCTAGTCTGCCCAATTTTCTAAAAACTTTCATTAGTCCCTAGCCTTATCTTATAGTTAGGATAGCCTTATGCCTATCCCATGCATGCTTAAACTCCTTTACTGTGTTAACCTCTACCACTTCAGCTGGAAGGCTATTCCATGCATCCACTACCCTCTCAGTAAAGTAATACTTCCTGATATTATTTTTAAACCTTTGTCCCTCTAATTTAAGACTATGTCCTCTTGTTGTGGTAGTTTTTCTTCTTTTAAATATAGTCTCCTCCTTTACTGTGTTGATTCCCTTTATATATTTAAATGTTTCTATCATATCCCCCCTGTCTCGTCTTTCCTCCAAGCTATACATGTTAAGATCCTTTAACCTTTCCTGGTAAGTTTTATCCCGCAATCCATGAACCAGTTTAGTAGCCCTTCTCTGAACCCTCTCTAAGGTATCAATATCCTTCTGAAGATACGGTCTCCAGTACTGTGTACAATACTCCAAGTGAGGTCTCACCAGTGTTCTGTACAATGGCATGAGCACTTCCCTCTTTCTACTGCTAATACCTCTCCCTATACAACCAAGCATTCTGCTAGCATTTCCTGCTGCTCTATTACATTGTCTGCCTACCTTTAAGTCATCAGAAATAATCACCCCTAAATCCCTTTCCTCATATGTTGAGGTTAGGACTCTATCAAATATTCTGTACTCTGCCCTTGGGTTTTTACGTCCAAGATGCATTATCTTGCACTTATCCACATTAAATGTCAGTTGCCACAATTCTGACCATTTTTCTAGTTTACCTAAATCATTTGCCATTTGGCTTATCCCTCCTGGAACATCAACCCTGTTACATATCTTAGTATCATCAGCAAAAAGACATACCTTACCATCAAGACCTTCTGCAATATCACTAATAAAAATATTAAAGAGAATGGGTCCAAGTACAGATCCCTGAGGTACCCCACTGGTGACAAGTCCAAGCTTTGAATATATTCCATTAACTACAACCCTCTGTTGCCTGTCACTCAGCCACTGTCTTACCCATTCAACAATATTGGAATCCAAACTTAAAGATTGCAGTTTATTGATAAGCCTTCTATGTGCAATAAAATATATACCAACCAGGAGATTAACAGGACACTTTATATTCTACTATCCATCTTTTTCTCCCGTTGTCTCCCCGAATGTCCCTTTCCAATTTTATTCTTTTATGATAAACCCATCTATGGATTCTCCCTTTAGGGTCACACATGCTTGAGCACTCAGTAATTTATCCAGAGGAAGCAGATATTTCCTTTACTTGTACAAGTTTCCCATTTTTTCCTCAAGTTAATTCTCCGTCCTCTCTCATTATTGATTTAAAGGACCACTATAGTGAAAGGAAAACACTTGTTTTCCTGGCACTATAGTGCCCTGAGGGTACCCCCACCCTCAGGGCCCCCCTCCCGCCAGGGCTCTAGGGGGTGGAAGGGGTTAAACTTCCCTCTTTCTCCAGCAGCGGGCAGGGAACTCCATCTCTCCTCCTCCTCGGCTGAATGCGCATGCGCGCCAAGAGCCACGCGCGCATTCAGCCAGTCTCATAGGAAATTTTTTCACAGTGAGAAGCACGCAAGTGCCTCTAGCGGCCGTCAATGAGACAGCCAGTAGAGGCTGGATTAACCCTAATATAAACATAGCAGTTTCTCTGAAACTGCTATGTTTATAGAAAAAAGGGTTATACCTAGCTGGACCAGGCACCCAGACCACTTCATTAAGCTGAAGTGGTCTGGGTGCCTATAGTGGTCCTTTAATAAGGCAGGAGTGAGTAGGGCTTTCTGGAATCACATTACCAAAATTTCCAGTTAGTGACTCTCTTCCAGTTTGGGCCAGGATAAGTCTTACGTACATGGTATTCTACAACATAAAGGCATGCATATCAAACCAGGTATCTTTACCACAAGTATTAATGCAAATTGTGGCAAACGTGCCTATGCCACAAGCTCCTGGAGGAGCCTGCTAGCTAGCCTCCTGCTACAGGACTATGGGCCATATACAAAGACTCTGTTCGGGAGTTAAATTTCCCCAACTGCCATTAGTAGCTTGCCCTAGGTCACCTGATCCGGGCCTTTCCCTTCCTGCGAATGGAACTGAAAGCTGACTCTCTGGCGGCCGTTTGCATGAACCAAACCCACAAATTGTCCTCAGCACCACTTAGCGATGGTTATGGAACAGAATTCGGCATGAGGATTTCGTGGGTTCCTGGTCACCTCAGCGGGACTTAGCCGTGTATGTTATGTAACGTTTTTTGGCGTGAGGTAACCGTGCAGTTCCTGGACAACTTGGTTTGCGGTTTTGAACCCTGGAACCCCAGGGTTCGCAGAACACCAATTGGGAAATGCTGCGCTAATCCAATCTACGCTCATTAATTTAGAAAGAGCAACATTGTAAAAATGAATTTACAAAGTCTTGCAAGGATAGCTCATGATAGTGTCACTTACAATACAATCATCATATATTAATATGCGATCTATAAGTTAGTCTTAAAATGTGTCTAAATGAGACCATCTGAAAAAGAGTTATTGGTCCAAGGAACCAAAACAAAAAATGATAATCTACTTGAAAGGAGAAAAGGGAGCTACATCACTTACGGTCACTTTTCGGCAATCACGTATATTCAGTAAACTTAAAAATATAAGTCTGTATTCCAATATACATAAATAAAAGGGACAAGATATGAACAAAAGCGCTAGTCTTTCAAGAACAGAGTTGCCCCTTCATCCTTTACACACAGTCACATAGCAGACCTCTTAGCTAATGCTTGTATTTTAGGATCAGTGTGGTTATTATTTAAATTAGCAGGTCAATTAATTGCACCTCTCCCCCACTAACCCACAATGACCCCAGAGTCACTGCACATGTCTATCAGGGAGGAAATGCTGAAGTGATCTCATCATAGTCTTGGTGAATTTAGAAGAAATTGTGTCCCCTTTTATAAACTGATGTAACCATAGCAGCTCGATGCCCATGAGCTGGAGCGTGTACAAAATAAGTGGGGCATGGAGCCATAATGGATCATCATTGTACATCTGCGCACTAGAACAACAAGCGGATACTTTTACACAAAAATAATAAAATTGCAGTCTGGAAGTGGCGGGGCGGTGCTTTTTTTGGCTTCTGTACCCCAGCATATTGTATTTAAATAAAAACAACAACAATAGGAGGTTTTAGTTCAGACTCTGGCATTTAAAAAGGTTCTTAAAAAAACAAACAAAAAAAAAAAAACACTACTATAACTACTACAGTTTTTTGTAGATATTTTCCCACAAAGAATCTTGCACATTTCCATTGGGTTTGGTGAAATAGATTTCTGACACAAAAAAATAAAAATAAGGAGCACATCACACCCAAAAGGTCAACATCACTGCTGACATCAAAATGAGGAGGGATTTCTGTACTTCATTACCGAGCTAAACTTGGCACAACGGTGCTCCGGCAAAAAAATTCACATACTTGATATGATTAATGTTGAACTGTAACTTCCGGTTCAGGGATATCTGAAGAGGGACCGGACCATGGGTACCTCAGGGACTCTAGTATCAAACCACTCAAAATGTTTCAAATCTTGACAGTGGGACAGTACTTAAACTCAGCATTTTATGAACCAATATTGGTCCATTGATTCTGTGTGGGCAGATTTGGAATGCACCCAGTGCCGACTCAGGTTACATTATGCTGTCCAACATTTGAATTGGCACAAGCTTTCCAGGTTTTGCTGCACGCCTCACTCATCACTGCATGAGCTTCCAGTCTTTACTCTACAACGATCCATGAAAAACTGCACAAATTATCTTAAAATGTTGCAGTAGAATTCTCTCACCCACCTGCTAGGCAATAAAAAAATTAAAATAAAAAAAAAAAATATAGGCAGCTGGGACACAGTGCACTTTCAATTCAGTTTTTTTTAGAATATTAGTGTAAAATAGTTTCTCAGTCTGTCTGGTTTATCTAAAAGTCCATATGGAAAATAAATTGTAAACACAGCAAGGAAGTGGTGAGTTGCTATTATGCCTATTCAAGAAAAGGACGGGCATTAACAGTGTGTGTGTGTGTGTGGGGGGGGATGATTAAAGTAGTACTACACAGTTCTTACTCATTCCCTCCAGGAACTGATAAGTGATATCCTCCTGAAGACATAGGGGAATTGTTTCTCCCTTCTTTGGAGAAATATTACAAGATAGTTTTGTGGTTGAAATAAGGCCATTCAGAATTATATGGATTGTGACCTTCAGAACACTGTTAAGATTCTTATCATCCTGGGACCAAAAGCACCTGCCCACGCAATATAGTGCCATAATCACAGAATTCTTTGCATGACCGATTAACCGGAAACTATTTCCTTTGTGCTATTTTAGATCAGTAATGAGAACAGTAATAGCAAACTATAAATAAGTTCTAGTGCCAAAGAAACAGGGACCCTACTCATACCTCCCAAGCATCCTTATTTGACAGGGACAGTCCCTATCTTGGGCTCAAAACCCTCCTTTCTATCCTAATGTCCCCCTTTTCTAGAAGGGGATGCATCCAGCACTGACTCAGTCCCACTCATTTTGCCTTTATTTTGCTCTTCCCTAGTCCACTCCATTTCATATTAACCTCTCAAAAATCCAGAGAGCTGGAGCTAAAATATGAACACATCAGTTTGCAGCATCTGCTGATTCACAGTAGTATTTGTCTGCCCGGTTTTCAGTTTCATTAAGTTTTCAGGGTTATTAACTAAAATGGACAGTTGATAGGAACCCAAAGTGTAAGAAAGTTACAATAACCAAATTCAAAAAATTCTGCAAGTCAAATCAGTTTTCAGTTCAACTATTTTGCTTTTAATTATGAAATTCACTTTGAAACCCTGGCAATTCTTTATTCGCCATTTTGAATATCCCTGCTAGTTTCAACATTCTTCTTAGGGATGAAATTGTTATGACAGGTATATAAAAAAACAAAAACACCGATTTTAAATAAATAAATAAAATAAAATAAAAACTAGGCTCAGTGCCTTGTATACAATATGTACAATGAAATAAGTCCCCCTCACTTTGCGTCTCAAGCTCCACGGAGATGTCACCTTATTTAGTTCTTTGCTCCACAACAGCACCTGTTTTTGCCTTGGTCAATATGAACCTTTTTGTAAGCAATTGCATTATGTTGTTTTTCGTTTAAGTTGTGGGCCCACTGGCCCAATATATATATATATATATATATATATATATATATATATATATATATATATATTTTATTTTATTCTAATAACAAGCACTCATGGAAAAATCTATCGGCACTGTTAACATTTCCTGGATTGAAGTAGAGCCAAAAGGGAATCCGAAGAGCCAAGTTTATTTATATCTGTAAACAGAGGATGCACAGTTTCCCCTCTGGTGAGGGCCGACGCTGACATGGGAGACAATTTGACGCATTTGCTAAATCTCACACAGAATGCAAATAACATATACACCGTAGGGGATCAGAAAATGGCTGTGTAAAATATGCCGATTAGGTGAATTATTATTATTTATTTTTTTTACACACATACATTTTCAAAGCATAATCAAGATATTGGTACATCAGGATTCAGCAGTATAAACTCTTGCTAAAAGGCAGATTTGTACAGAGAAAGAAAGAGTGAGCCTTGCACTTATGTTTTTACAGACGACCAAAAATATTACAGTTAAGTGAGAGAGGTCCTAGACATTTAATGTATTCTGATGGTTGTCCCATATTTCCTTATCTGTTGAGTATTGATATGATAACTAAATTTTAAGCCAAAATAGGCAGGCTCGAAAAACATTAAAAAATTGCCAATTTTACTCAATTTAAACTATTTTAAACTTAAAATCACTATCAATTCTCCACAATTCCTAGATTAGTGAATTATTTCACTTGCCTTTAATACGGCAGCAGAGTTTGTGAAACATGAGCGACTCACAGTTCTGCTTAATTTTAAGGTCTGGCTAGTATTGCGTCTTTTATTTCCCCTTTGGATCAAAGCCTCTTTTACGACTGGGTATTAAAATAGAAAAAGAGGAGTCTGGGGTTCTAATTCCGGTAGCTAATAAAACGAGTTGTCACCTTGTACTAATTCTATCACAAAAGTAGGACATTAAAGGGACAGGTCTTGAGACCAATTGTGAGTTTTGCTTTTAATCAGAATACAAAAGGAAACCCACACACAATGCCAAACAACTCCTAATGCTCTCTCCTGTCCCTTCAAGAATGATTATTCCCTCCTGAGTTTCTTTCAGTCACAACTGGATCCATCAGCTGCCCCATCACCCACACATTTAGCACTTTTGAACAATAGTAATAGTAATTTGGCTGCCCTTTTAAATTTTACTTTTATGTGAAGCTATTAATAAAGGCCACTAGTGACGTATATACACACAAGGGAGGGCTGACTTACTGAAGGATTGTGGTGTTTACTGTTCTACCTCTCCCAGCATGTTTCTTTCTCTGGCTCTGCCTCTTCTCCCCAATCCTTCTCTGTTGGTGTTCCCCAAGTGTCTGTCCTATTGTTCTCAATCTACACTGCCTCCCTTGGTAAACTCATCAGCTCCTTGCTTCAAGTATAATTTCTATGCGGATGACACACAAATTTGTCTGTCCTCCACTGATTTATCACCACCCCTCTTGACTCGTGTCTCTGAATGAATCTCTGCCATTTCCAAATAGATGGCTGCTCATTTCCTTAAACTGAACCTGTCTAAAACATATCTTCTGGTCTTCCCTCCCTCAAGTGTTGCTACTCTCTTGTCTGTGTCCCTCCAAGTCAATGGTGCTACTATCCGCTCTACCTCTAAGGCTCGCTGCCTAGTTGTTCTCTTTGACTCAAACCTCTCCTTCACCCCTCATGTCCAATCAATCGCCAAATCCTGCCGCTTCCATCTCAAAAATATTGCGTGCATCTGAATCTAATGCCTGATATGGAAAAGGTGATTGTCCATGCGCTGTCCCCTCCCGCCTTGACTACTTTAATCCGCTTCTCTGTGGACGTTTTTCCAACTTACCCCATTACAGTCCATAAAGAATGCGGCTCATCTTTCTGTCCGCTCGCACCGCCCATGCCTCCACTTTTATCAGTCCCTACATTGGCTTCCAGTAAGATATAGGACTCAATTTAAGATCCTTACAAATCTCTACACAATGCTGCTCCAACCTACTTATCCTCAAGAATACACAAAAATGACCAGTCTAGGCCCCCTATGTTCTGCCGGAGACCTACGTCTAACCACTGTTCGTGCTTCTACCTCTGATGCTCACCTTAAAAGACTTCTCTAGGGCTGCATCATTCCTATGGTACACCCTTCCTCTCTCTGTTAGACATTTAACCAATCTCCACGCCTTCAAAAAAAATCTTTGAAAAAACGTACTTCTTTAGGAAAGCATATCAATAAAACAGCTTTGCCTCCCCACACCATGATTCCTCTCCTGCAACTGTCATCAAAACGAAACACTAAAGCCCTCAATAAACACTATCCTAGCAACCTACTTTTCTACACTGACCTTACCTTTTGTGTCACTATACCCCACTCCCTCTAGCATTTAAACTCATTGAGCAGGGCCCTCAATCCCTCTGTTCCTATGTATCCAACTCGTCTAGTTACAAATTCTTGTTTGTTAGTCCACCCATTGTACAGCGCTACGGAACTTGTTGGCGCTTTATAAATAATATTATTATTATTATTATTAATACCGCCATGTATGAGAGTAATGTAAGGGAGTAATCAGTTGTAAAGAGACAATATTTACAGAGAACATTAAAAGAACACTATAGTTACCTAAATTACTTTAGCTAAATAAAGCAGTTTTAGAGTATAGATCTTTCCCCTGCAATTTCATTGCTCAACTCACTGTCATCTAGGAGTTAAATCACTTTGTTTCTGTTTATGCAGCCCTAGCCACACCTCCCCTGGTTATGATTGACAGAGCCTGCATGAAAACAAAAAACTGGTTTCACTTTCAAACAGATGTAATTTACCTTAAATAATTGTGTCTCAATCTCTAAATTGAACTTTAATCACATACAGGAGGCTCTTGCAGGGTCTAGCAAGCTATTAACATAGCAGGGGATAAGAAAATCTTAATTAAACAGAACTTGCAATAAAGAAAGCCTAAATAGTGCTCTCTTTACAGGAAGTGTTTATGGAAGGCTGTGCAAGTCACATGCAGGGAGGTGTGATTAGGGTTCATAAACAAAGGGATTTAACTCTTAAATGGCGGAGCATTGAGCAGTGAGGCTGCAGGGGCATGTTCTATACACCAAAACTACTTCATTAAGCTAAAGTTGTTCAGGTGACTATAGTGTCCCTTTAAGTATGTAAAGGAACACTATAAGGTCAGGAACACAAATGTGCATTCCTGACACTATAGTGTTTGAATAAATAAATAAATAAACCCCTGCTAAATACCCTTGCACCCCTCCCTCCCCCCTATAAGTAGAAACTCACTTTTTTCCCCAGTGCTATGCAGGTCCACCGGCACCGCTCCTGAATAGCATCTTTGGCTGAGATCATCAATTCTGATGTTAACCAATCACAATGTTTTGCCATAGGAAAGCATTGGATTTGCCAAGATCGTCAATTCTGGTGATCTGAACCAAAGAGGTAGGGCAGGATGAGCCAAATGCTTCCCTGGCTGTGACAAACTGGACCTCGTCAAGGGTCCTTGGAAGGGCATACTTGCCAGCCTCTTACCGTGTGACTATGGCCCCTGAGTTAAACCCTATCTATGCCTGTTGGGACTGGTAACAGGAACCATTCAAACTTTCGAATTGGCACTGTGAACTCCCGAACCCATTCAAAGTGCCAGTCGATCACGTGGCGCGGCCAGCTTAAGCCGCGAGTACAATGGGCGGTGTTTGGTTGTCGAGTTCATGTAACTCAAATCGGACACTTGACGGCATGAACACCGCTAAAATGTTACCTTCCATGGATGTTTGGCTATTCGAACGGGAGTCGAACAGCGTTCGGTAAAAAGACTCTCACAAACAAGAGAGACATATAATGGCATTCTCCACAAACTGCTTTGGTATTTCGAACTGTACTTTGAATCCCCGAAGTAGACCAGCCGCACAGCCTGATTCTATGGAACTGTTTAGGGCATTGGAACAATGCATGCGGCCGGTCAAAATATGACTTCTTTAGAATTCTTGAACCCCTGAACTGATCTGGGTGATTTTTGGATGTGTTGGTTACCCAGATCCAGGATATCAGGGAATGTAACTTTTGTGGGGATATTATGTGTTTTGGGGTACTTTTGGGACTTTTTAGAAATGTGTTTTTTTTCTGCCTGGAGATAATTGGGTTAATACAGTAGCTGACTCAATTATCTCCCAGGCAGAGGACCGATTCTATGACATGTGTGGGAGTGCCTTAGATTGTAACTTGGTTATCATTGGTCTATGTTTGTGTCCCTGTCCCCAACAAGGTCCATGTGGGTGTCACTCTTGCTTAGGGACTCGCATAAAAGGCCAGTGTGGTTACTATTAAACCATTCCTGCTTTACCCTCAACATAGAGCCACGCCTCGGGCTAGTAGGGACCTGCTGTACAAGCTATACCCACTAGCTCTTGTAAGAGCTTCACAGCTATCTGCTCTTGGAGGAGAGGCCTTCCCAATGGGAGCTGGAATCAGGAGTTTGGTCCAGGGTGAGAAGGGATGGCGAGATCCCCAGCCAAGCTACGGCAGCTAGGGGTCTACAGTGCTGATTGTGTCTGGTGGAGTGCTTGGAGTCCTCGGTGAGTACTAAGAGCATCGATTGATGGAGGCACCCGGTCGGGGTGGCAGGCGGTCTGTTACACTGGCCAATCAGCATCTCCTCAGAGATGAATTGAATCAATGCCTCTCTATGGGGACAGTTCAAAGTCTCCATGCAGAGCGTGGGGATGGTGAACATCAGTGCTGCACACTGCAGCACTGACCCAGGAACACCTCTAGTAGCCATCTGAGGAGTGGCCAGTGGAGTTATCACTAGGTTTTAAATGTAAACACTACCTTATCTCTGAAAAGGCAGTGTTTACATTAGAAAGCCTACAGGGACTGATTATACTCACCAGAACAACTACAAAAGTAGATAACATTTATATATTTTGTCATGGATGGTGTAATAAAGAAGAATATATGCACATACATCCTAAGGCAGGCTTCTCAAATCCCAGCTTGAGGTAAAGATATACAGGTGATGCACAACAGCAATTTTTCAATCTGCATCAAATTGTCGGTAGTTTAATGAGGTTTGGTCTCACCACAAATTATTTGAAAAAATAAATAAAATTTATAAATATATATATATCCCCCATACACACACACACACACACCTTTCTGTGTTCAATAAAATCTAGAATCGGTACATTTAAAGCAAATGTATTCCATTATCATGTTAAAAAAATTCCAGCTTCGTTTTATCTGGGTTTAAGTTTAAGCTTACAAATTTAATAGCAATATATATATATATATATATATATATATATATATATATATATATATAGTGCTTGTTCTGTTGTGATAGTTATTAAGTTATGAAATAAGAAAGATAGCATATATTATATATAGTAGCAATACACACACACAAAAAAAAACATAAACACACACATCATTACTTACTTTGCTATTCTCTAAAACGGTATATTATGTGTGTAAAGAAATAGCATAATCCATATAAAATGATTGTGTACTGTAGATAACCGTACTCTTCCAAGTTAATTCAGTGTCCTCACATTGACCCTGCTAATTTGGCATTACCGACAATTTGTTTTGTGTCAGAACGTGCCATTGTCAAGAAGTTACATGCTTTAAAAATAACAATACTTCCTATGCATTTTAAATAGACATCACTTAAAATGGAAACAAACACTGTGCTGTCAACATGTGTGTTCCTCTTCAGTTTATGACAAATGAGTCTCAAAAGGCACCATGGATAAAAACATACAGATAAACATAGGACCGGATAAACACTATGTGTGGCTGTCTTTTGATGTGAACGGCAGACATATACACTTCATAAAGTACAGCTCCCAGAATTCACCTGGAGGGAAATACACTTCCTAGAGGAAGGAAATACTGTGATGTCACTGCTTAGCCGGGAATGTAAGTGGGACCCATGGGGCAAACAGAGAAATAGGAGGGATGTGACAGTTATTGTGTCCAGGAAAATTTTTAATAATTCACTATCCTTTTCCAGTGCTTTTATATTTTTTGAATTTTATATATTAAAAATAAAAATAAAAAAAATAAACCCCAACAACCCTATATTAAAACATTTAGGCTAAATCCCGACTGTGATTTTAGCAGAATGCTATTTTAGCCTAGATTTTGAAATTCGGTTTCTATTACAGTATTTAGTGAATAAACCCCCTTATGCTTTGACTTTGTAAGTTGTACCCAGTCCTGCTACACAAACATTCACCACCTTTCCGATTCTGCAGCATTGAGAGGGATGTTTTTTTAGAAGATGTAACAATCAAATATTATTAAAAATCAAAAGTTTTCAAACTTTAAAAAATATGTTGAACTGAAGTCATATCTGTTATAATTAAATCTCTTAGTGCCATCTTTTAAGAACATGAATAATCGCTGGTAACACTATTGCTCATCCTTGATTGAGTAGGATTCTGCATGTGTTTTGGCACAGAGCTCTACAACACGGTTCCCTGTACATCTTTGTTTATTATGGAGACCCTAGTGGCCAATATTGCCCATGTAGTGTGCAGCAAATGCGCTCATGTTTTTCCACGGAATATACATAGGAGAGCTAGAATAAGAAAAAATAAACTTGTCTGCAGCCTTTGCAAGCTCTCCCTTTCTAACCCTGCCAAGACTTTCTGTGGCTGTTCAATCACAGACTTCCCGAAGCAGCTCAATGAGAAGTCTTTGCAAGGCAGGTGATCTGAGCAATTGCTGCCTCTTGAGTTTAGCTCCAGTGAGCTAAACTAACCAGGAAGTAACAGGACTGAATGTCTGATTGACCGCTGGGTGTGTGCAACACTTACTTTAAAAATTTCTATTTGTAAAATATAAAAATACTCTTCACACAAAGCACTTCAGCAAGCTGTATGGCTTTAGGGGTGTGGAGTGTCCCTTTAATTTCTGTTCTTCACCTGCAAGTCACCTAGATTCAGGTTACTAGATAAGAACTTTCAATGTAGTATCTAAAATGTAGTGCCTATTCTATTTTGAACTGCAAACAAATTCAAGGAAGATGTTGGAAATTGCAGAACGTACTCTGCCTTGTTAATTACTTTGAACATATATTCTTTATATTGCAAGTTCATGAATGATACGCACACACGGATATATTCCATTTGCTTAATATTTCACTTAAAGGGACAGTTTAGGTATAAACCATAGTGTACCGTAATCTATATGTAGTTGTGCCAGGAGTCCCCTGGGCGCATTCTTACCTTCGGGGTTAAGTTTTTGAATGGTTTAACACCGAATTTGCATACAGTGCCAATCTCCGGCATCCGGCTTTTTAAAGATCAGATTCAGAAAGTGTGGAGTGCCGCCATGATGCTCTCAGCCAGTGACTCGCCCTTTACAAAACTGGCTTGGAAAAAGGTATGTTTCTTTCCAATCAAGCAGGTGCCTGGAGTACAACTTTAAGAAAAAAGGTTGGAAGGGCTATGCGTGAGCGTGACTGACAGAATTTTCAATGGGGTTTAGAGGTCACACAGGATTTTGTTATAGACCAGGGATTGGCTGATTTTGTGTCACTCCTCTTCCTGAAAGGTGACTGATAGAAGGATTGCAAAAGAGAAACATTTTTTTTTCTAAAAGAGCTCTTTCTTCTTTTAATTACAATTTAATATAATTTTTGACAACTATCATAGCAGCACAAAAAATTGGTAGGGCATACCCAGAACAATTATTTCTTAATTATGGTGCGGCTCTTATAGGGACACTCCACTGTTCAAAAACAAACAACACTTGCAAAAGCTGTAGTTCTCTTGCATGAAGCATTTAGAAGCCCTTCCCTTCTTCCCCAGCCCACACTTTCAGTAGCTGTCCAATCACAGACTTCCCAATGCAGCTCAATGAGACGTCTATTCAAAGCAGGTGCTCCGAGCAATTGCCTGCCAGCTAAACAAACCAGCAAGTAATTGGAATGGTTGTCTGACAACCTAGGGGGTGTAACAAGGTTAATTTATAAAAGTACCAGTTTCTATTAAAATCTGCACTCTCAAATGAAAAAAAAAAAAAACACAAATTGCTTCAGCAAGCTAAAAGGCTTTAGGAGTCGAGTGTCCCTTTAATACCAAGTTAGTCTTTGTAAGGTAATGTTAGCACACACTCCTCCTCTATCTGAAGGTGTAACAGGAACCAATAAACTTGCAGGCTATAGAAAATAACACAGCTGTGCCACTCCTGCCCACACACCAAGTGTGACGTGGTGTGAACAAATTTACATTGTCTATTGAATGAGGAATCTACCAGACCACACAATAAACTCCTTCCCTGAGTTATACATTGTTATGGAAGCCATTTCTTAGGTAGCGTGAAATCTACTCATTCTTATAGTATGGCTTAACCATATGCTGTTCAGTCTACTTTTAGTGTGCGTTATGACCAGTGGTGTATCCTGGTTTTGTGCTGCCCTAGGCTAAAAACTGTCCAGTTAATGTGTCCAGAAATCATCTTTGTACCGATTGTGACCGTCTAAGACTGACTACGTAACTTATATACTTATATATAGGGCCTTTTTTGTCACACCGATCATGGGAAAAGTTTTGTTAAAAAGTATTGAAGAGTCACAGACATCATTAACAGCATATCAGCAGGTATTACTTTGCTGATAGAGATCATTTGACAGATTGTAATCATGTCCTATGTTTTAATGTAAGTGTGACTTATTTTATGTATCTGCACTGAGAAATTTTGCAGGTAATTAAACCATACATTAAACAAATGACATGCTACTACAAATGACCATAATTTATGATTGATGTAGGAACAGGTTAACAAGTGTAACACAGACAACTTTTTGGTCGTCGTGCAGAGAATCACCTTCTCACGGTTCTTCAGTACATCAAACTAAAGACTTTTAAAAAATCCTTTAGATATCCTATCCCCATAAATGAAAATACAAGCCATACAGGTCAAAGTGAGGGTCAGAAGATGAGTTACTTGGTGCTGGTGGAGAGAATAGCTGTGACATTCTAACTACAGGGATACATAAAGATTCGATACCCATGTAATTGGACAAGGACATAAGACCTCTCATCATACAAGTCTAGTTTTTTCTGTGACCTCTAGCTCCTTTGTTTTGTTGAGAGGGCAAAATAAAAAAAAAGGTTCCAAAGAAAATACCCTCCCTTCTCTGCATTCCTTTTCCTCAGGAAAAAAAACAAAAAACACCAAAACAGATAACTGACAAAGTAGGAAACACCGGCAGAGAGCTCACTGCTTGTGATATATAGAATTCTCTATTTTTAAACAGCCGAGGATTGTCAAAGGATCAATTATTCCAAATTTAGAGAAATTCAAGGCAACTGGAATGTATAGCTTTGGGGAATATAAATAATTCAACCTACTTAGCATCCTCCTATAATTGTAAACCTACAGCTTATTTCATCCACATAAGCTTCAAATTGGAGCCAGTCAGAATTAATCTAAAATGGTCTGAATGACCCAGACAACAACTCTAAAAATTGCTCTAAAGTAGATTTCCAAGCAAATTGCAAAGCTGACGGGACCTGAACAAAAATGTATTCTGACGACTGTGGAGATGTCCCTCCTTACCCATGAGTGACAGGTGAAAGGTTACATCATAAAGATGTGTGGTCTGGTCTAGTGGACAACGCCTTAATTAGGAGAACACCTTAGATTCTAGTCTATTACGACATGACATTTGCAGGCACTGGTTACAAGTACAGGAGAAAATATTTTTCTGTGTATTGTGAGAGGGCGACAATATAAAGATCGCCAGGGTACAACAAAATATAAATGCCCTACTTACCATACATGTAAATACGAATGAGGGATATATAATCTTTCCTGGTAATAAAGTACAATTTATCTTACCAAACTTCATACATTACCGGCATGATATCTATAATCTTCAAATTCAGGATTTGGCAAAACTAATTTTTTTCCAGCGAGCAAGCAGTCAAAAACCCTTAAAACAATCCACTAACATTTGACCCTCTATTAGGCTATTAATGCAAACCTCTCATACTTGGTACAGTAAAATGTTGGATTTCTACATGTATCACTATACCTCGAGTATATGAAACTTTATTGACCTGTTCCGAATGGAGTCAGTGGGACCATGGCCAATACAGCTCTGATCTATGTACAGTTTGAACCACAATAGATTTGATCTAACCAAATCCCCCATAACATGCTGCCTCAATCCAGGCCTACTTACAGTACTGAAAACTAGAGATTCCTTAAGGGCAGGAATACATGGGATACACCGTGTCAGGTGAGGTGACCCACATCCTACGCTAGAGATGGGCTTCCGTTCTGCAGTGTAATAGTATTTTGGGCTGTGTCCAGCTAAACATCTTAGATCAGCAATTTGAAAGTCAAAGCATTCTCATTGAGCAAACCAAACCTCAGATAGACTGTATCAAGCGAACAAATGGTAACCGTAACAATCAGTAATTCAAACAATATATAGAGGGAGCTCCACAGAACAGGGATATGTAACGTTAGTGATGGCATGTTATCCTGAATAACAGATAAGCCTGCTAAGTTTATAGTTAAAACCACTACACTACCTATGGTAGAGTATACAACTGGATAGTGCTACATTTCTATACTAAACACGGCAATATCGTATCCTTCAATATTGTCCTACCATTGTGATTTTCTGGTGGACTTCTTTGGTAACACGAGACATATCTCCCCAGAAAGCACTGAATAAAGGAAAAGTCCAACCATCATAAAACTTCAGCTTGCTTTATTGGTTATGGTGCCAGCAGTGCCCTGGTTACAATCGACGCCAAGTGGTCAAACCTTTTTACTATAGATTAGCAACATACCTTGGCACCTCCGATGTACACAACACATCCATTCTTTTCATGCAAGAGAAGTCGGATGTCTGCAGAATGAAGCATGGCCAGTGGCGACACTAAGCAAATGGTCTCAGCCAATGAGACATGTTCTGCTTTGCTCTGAATAGCAAACTAGGTTCCACCGCCAGAGAAGACAGTATGCAGGAGATGTGGCGTGACCCAGGTATGTTGTCAAAGTCCAAATGTTTTGACTACTTAACAAGGGATGACAGTAGGGCACTTCTGGCACTATAACCACTATATCTATTTGTAGTTATGGTGCTTGGCTTTTTCACATGTGTTCCACTCCTGAACTACAATGGAGGGGGAAACCTTGCAGGGCTGTTACTCAGCTCCACCATAATTTTTGGGGGGATTTTTGCTGATGTACAATGGTTTTAACAACACTCCCCACTGTAGACTTGTCTCCTCCAGTGCAGATTACATACCCCAGTTTAACCCCTTAAGTACACGACTTATTCTAGAAGTTTGGTCCTTAAGGGGTTAATAACTACCGTATATACTCGAGTATAAGCAGACTTTTTCAACAAATTCTTTATGCTGAAAAAGCCCCCCCTCGGCTTATACTCGAATGAGCGCTTCCCTAGGGCGCACCGGTCCGGGGGGAAGTAGATTTAGGTGACCGGTAGGAGGTTAGTGCTACATAGGTAGGACAATGGGGAAAAGGACCACTAAGGAGGTGAGGGGAGGGGAAGAAGGGGAAAGGACCACTAAGGTGGTGAAGGAAAAAAAAAAAAAAAAATCAGCAAATTCTTTAAAAAGAGGATTTTTTCAATGTATTTTATTAGCTCGGGTTTTAGAGAATAAGTGCATAGTCTGTAATGTGACTAGCTCCCATTATTCATGGGATAATCTGAATCTTTGCATTGCATTTTGATACCAGTGGCTGCTGCATTTCCCACCCTAGGTCTATACTCGAGTCAATACGTTTTCCCAGATTTTTGTGGTAAAAGTAGGTGCCTCGGCTTATACTCTAGTATTTCTGGTACATTAAACTTGCTGCCGTTTACATCGGTGTTTCGGGTGATACACTACTTAGCATGAGCATCACATATAATGAAGTGAGAATGGTCAGGATTTAAAAGTAAATTTAACATTCAAGGCCAAACTAGACAAACTGGAAACATGTCCATATCCGCTACGCTCCTAGTTCAGTTACTTTGGCCTTGAATTTGAAATTCAATTAGAATTTCTGGTAAATCTCAGATTAGTGAACCATTAGTGTAAAGTGCTGAAAATAATAATAACATGAATAGTGACTAACCCTGCCAGTGTAATCCCATTCTACAACAAGCATTTTCCAACAGTTGTTTGGATGGTCAGATATTTTTAGATTAAAAAAAAAAAACTTTCACTATACAAGTGTACAATTCAAGGCATGCAAGTGCTGCTGAAGCTAAATATGGATTGTAGAATAGATACTTACCATTGGCTAGACAGACTACAGAACAGCTGCCGTTCAAGGCACAGTCTATTACAACATGCGGCATTGCAGTTGGTCTTAGCTGTTGGGCAGCTTAGATTCATTCTATGCCAGGTATCAGATATTGAGGATTTATTTCAAAATATTTTGGAGAAGATACATCATGATTTACTCCATTAACAAAGAAAATAAATACATTTTTAAAAAGGTTTAGTCAAACTGGAAAACGATCCAGTTGCCAATTTTTCCGTTCAGCAACTTTGGTCTGGAATCACCATGGTAGTATTTCTCCAAAGCCCAGGGCCAATTAAACAGAAACAGTAGGTAAAGAGGGCCCTGACCAAACGAGTTTACGATCTTAAGATCAAAAAGCCTACGGTGGGCTTAAAATTCATCATGCATGGCACTTTTTATAGCCAAGACTTAGCAAGATGGCTGATGAACTACAAACTGCACAGTGTAACATTTAAAAAGTTTTTAAAGCAATAGCTATATGATCAGAAACGTATTTATATATGTTATAGTAATGTGTGCACAATATATATATATATATATATATATATATATATATATATATATATATATATATATAACGGCTTTTGATTTGGTCATCAGTAAATCTGTTTGGAATGAGAATCCTGGGGCAGTTCGTTATATTATACTTCATAAAGCACTGTGTAAACTACAAAATCTCCCTTTAAACAAGAAATAAAGACTCTGGGGATGAACAGACTAACATTCATCTGCACGCTCAGCTCTTATCCTTATACAGCCACAGAACTCTGAATGTAAACACAGGCTGGCTGCTACCCCATCCCATAGACCAGGGCAGTCACCCAGGGCAGCCTCGGAACACCAAGGGGGAGGGATTAAGGTCAATAAATATGCCATTGTAGAATCTGCTAGTGCTGAGGTTATGGAATTAAACACAAACCGGTCCCAGTAGATGAACAGCCAGTCCATGCTATATACAACAGGCCCCTGTCTTTTTGAATGGCAAATGGAGGTTTTTATGTTAATTTTGTTCAATATATGATGGTAACGCAGACGTGCCAAGAGTCTTAGATTTCCAGGGACAGTTCCGAATCTGAAGACAGCATCCTACTGAGGTACTATATGCTCCTAGTTTAATGTTATTACAGTGTTCTATACTCTTGTGGGTGAAGGGAAAACTCTAAACATGTAAAGCATTACAGAAAGCAAGTTTAAAGCGTGTATTTTTCCCAATTCAGAAAATTGCTGATTTCAATAGAAAAATAGCACTTTTATACATTACTCCTCGAATACCCACCTCGCTGTCAGACTGCATATCACTCAAGTGTCCCTATTTAGGAGGGACAGTCCCCATTATTGGCCCATGTCCCACTTTTTTTTTTTTGTTGAAATTTTATGTTGGTGTGTCTGAGTGTGTAACAGAGCTCCGCAGCAATAATACTCAATACTCACAGTAATGAGTCTTTAAATTACAAAAAATAAAAAATAAAAAAGTCACCTAAAATTTCTCAAATATCCCAGCTCACTGAGCAGTGTGAATGACAACCCAGGTGTGTGCACATCTACACCACAAATGTTTTTATATGAGAAGCCTCTGATTGGTCAACTAACTGTCATGCCACGGAAAGACTAACTTTTCATGTACCCATCCCCCCCCTCTCCAAACAACATGCTTTATTTAGTGATATCTCTACTAAATTGCTAATCACTAAGCAATACTGTGCTCAATCCAAAATCAGATCACATATTTAGGCATAAATAACCAAACTGACAATAGCAGATTTGTAGAATTTCCCAAGTCATACATTTGTTGTCTAAATCTAATGATGTAGCTTGCAATTCACATTTTTGCTTAAAAACCAACAAAATTTTTCTGGGTGGGTTTAAGTATTTGCAAACACAGGAGCTCCATGGTCTTGGGCACTCACAACCTTACATTATCTAGATTTACGTGTCAAAGTAGTAATAAGAATTGATACAAACAACGATTACCAGGATGTGGGGGAAGTACTATTAGAGTGCAGCAGTTTACTCCTCATCCATTTACAGATTAGTCCAGAGATCTCAAATGGATGTGATTTTTGTGTGTGCGTGCTTATTTTCAGAACCTCATATTTAAATTTAATCAACCTGCTCCAAAATAGTGTAAAAGAAAACTGGGCCTCTAGAATCACAATACCAAATACCTCCCATCATTACAAAAAGTCAGTCATTACGGTGCTTATTTTGCACCTAAATTTGAAAAGACAATGTAATATTTGAATGCCAATTGAAGCAAAAAATAAAATAAAAATAATAGTATTGGGGATGCAGTTTGATGCCCCAGTGCCCATGTCTTCTAGTGCCCAGGGTTATGCCGTTTGGCAGTCCTGGTCTAGCAGTCAATCTTTCTTGCAATAAGGGTCTTTATTACACACAGATCCTAAAGAGTTATGATGTAGTAGTGCAAATACTTGAGGGAAAACTAAACAAACATTATGTTAGACACAATACTGAATGTCTGTGCCCCTTCTGCTCAGCAATCTAGGTTAGAGGTATATTTTTGAAAGGCTAGTCTGCTTCTGAATCCATTGTAGTACTGTTCCTGTGGTCAGCACCAGCCCTTCCCCTGCTGTGAGTGAGTGGGTGTGTGTGTATAAGGGGGGTGCACGGATCAGGTGCAGATTCAAGGTCAGAGATTTCAGTTCATACGTTTCCTGTGCGGGCCGCATCCTGTGCCAGAGCCAAGGCTTGCTCGGGGAGAGGGAGACAGGACCGGAATACAAGGAAATGCTCCTATCCTGTAGAATCCTGTACAATCAGAAACTAGGGTGGAGGTGGTGAGGGTGGGAATATCCCATCGTTGCATGCTCCCTGTGTCCTATATGAGACTTACTGGATGACAGAAACTTTGAAAGTGTTAAGAGATGACAACCGCTTGGTAAACCTAGTTTGCCCTTTTGCCGTCTAATTTGCAGTTTTAGACAACATTTCACACTGTGAGTGCCAAAGGGGTGAGTGACGCATTTATTGGCAAAACATAGCACAATCCTTTGACATCATTGGGCTCGAGAAGCCAATTGGACTTCATGTGGTACCCATGCCATAAACAACCAAGCTGTGGGAACAAGTGCTGTATATTACCAACTCAGAAAGGGTCACACTAATAGTGAAAAGAACGCTAGAACATGCTTCCCATCTGTACATTGCTAAATCCAAATGCAGATCCAGAAGCCACATTTCCCAAGCCATGGTAGAACTACAACTCAAGTGGTGCTTTGCCTGCTTTAAGACTAGTGAAGCATCATGGGAGATGAAGTACTAGATTATCTGGGGATCTACTTTTTTTCCACCTCGGTTATAGCCAATAACTAACTCGAGGGATTTGCATGATAGGTACTGCTCAAGAATAGCACACTGAGTGGCCACTAACTGATCACTTTTAATTGGCAGCATGACAGGTTTAGCTTATGCCACCATTGCTTGGTTTTGCCAATCCATAAACCTTTATTGTACACCTACCAATTTCCAAGGCCAATCCCAATGGGCCCTGCCTTCAGCAAGCCAGGGCAATAACCTTTCTGTTCCTAGAAGTTGTGGCAGTGAAAGGATAGACCACATTTTTAGCAGATATTGCCATTATAACAAAAGCAGGTAAGTAAACCAAACCCATGAGGCCATATGTTAAGGAAATGTTTACATTTTTAGTAAATACATTTCAGAGCAAAAAATGTTAGCAAATGTATAAAAAAAGTCAGAACTTAATCTAATTATTATTGTCCAAACTTTTTTTTTTTTTTGTTTTTTTTTTTTACACACACGCAAAGATTACCTTTAATTTAAAGTGAAAGGACCCTTGAAGGTGACATTGCCCATTGGTGTGCAGTGGCTTGGGGGTGCAGCGCAGGTGACTACTGCAATACCCTTCTCAGTGGTCTTGCGTGTTCCCAGATAGATATAAGGCTCAATTTAAAATTCTGTCCCTACATAATGCTGCTCCAACCTACCTTTCCTCCCTAATACACAAGTATGTCCCGTCAAGGCCTCTACGCTCTGCCGAAGACCTACATCTATCCTCTGTCCGTACTCCCACCGCTAATGCTGGCCTCCAAGATTTCTCCAGGGCTGCACCTCTTCTGTGGAACTCCCTTCCCTTCTCTGTAAGAATTTCACCCAGTCTCCACTCATTCAAAAAAAAAATTGAAAACGCACTTCTTCAAGAAAGCATATCAATTAAACTATTAGCATGTTTTTATCCTCCACCCACCATGACTCTTCTCCTGCAACTGTCAAAAATAACCTACTAATCCCTCAATTAATGCTTTTCTAACAACCTACTTTGTACCCCTACTTTTACCCTCTGTGTCACTATACCCCACTCCCTCTAGGATGTAAGCTCATCGAGCAGGGCCCTCCACCCCCTCTGTTCCTGTACGCCCTCCACCCCCTCTGTTCCTGTAAGTCTGGTTAAAAATGACATGTCTGTTAGTCCACCCATTGTACAGCGCTACGGAAAGTGATGGCGCTATATAAATAATAAAATATACTTACTTGATTCTGTTTCCAGAGTTCATCGCCATATTTTGCTTTTTCCTCCGGGAGCCTACATCAGTGATGTACTAAATACTGTCTACTGCGAGACGGCAGGTGCCTCCATAGATATTGTCGTGCAATCAGCAAAACATTTAATTTTTTTCCCCCACAGCCAGGGCTAGAGGACTGCAGGAACAGCGTTCCTGCACTTTTTCAACAGCAGGATCGCCGTTCCGTTACTTGTCCTGCAGGACCCAGGGCTGGCACAGAGCAGGGGGAAGCACAAATCCGAATCCCCTGCCTGTGGTCTCGGATTTTTTAAAAAAAAAAACTCACCTCTCTCCCTGCAGCCAGTGGAGTCGGCCAGCCTCTCCTGGTGATGTCATGAGGGGGCATGACTTTCACGGCTCTTCTCACAGGACCGCTGGGGAGTCTGGGAGAAGAGGAGAGGAAGTCACGCCCCCTCCTCCTGACATCATCAGGAGAGGCTGGCTGACGACTCCACTGACTGCAGGCTCCAGATCCTGTCGCACCGTAAGCCTCAGGGAGGGGGGGGAATGCATTTAGGGTGGGTTTTTTTTTTTTTTTTTTTTAAATCCCCTTACTCAGGCCCTGCCCCCCTCCCCTCCCCTCCTAAGCTCCTGTCCCTCTTCCTCAGCCCTGCCCCCTTCAGTCCCTGTCCTCAGCCCCTGTATACGAGCGTATAATAATTATTTTTTGGGGGGTTGAGGGAGTGGTTCCCGCACTTTTTTACTCAGGACTTGACCCCTGCCCACAGCCATTACTAGAAACAACTGGGGGAATTGACAAAACGTAATTGCGGCAGCTCCACGTTTTTTCAAGAGTACCAAAATGTTACTAAGAGAGGTGGAAGTGAAAGGATATCTTTAGATTGGATTGGAATTTCTAGTACAACATAGTCAATGTGAGTATTCCATAAAAGATTTTATCTTTATAAAATACTTCAATTATGTATTTGTGGGGGTGAAGGGGAGGGAGATGACAGAGCAACTTTAAATTGTTCTCCAAATCTTCATCTTTTTGCAAATATTTAAGATAACAACCAGCATGAAGGACTCTATGTATAAAAATCATGACTAAGTGACTAGTGACTTAAAATCAAATCCACCCTGGAAAATATAGTCTTCTAGATTCAAATTCGTGGACAGTATCACAAAAAGGGTCAATTCGTTTTTAGCATCTAGAACAGAGTTCTGTATTAGCCATGAATCTAAATTGGTTTGATTGTACTACGCTTAAAGCATCTATTACTTCCATAATCAAAATTAAGAACAAAATGGTTTCCAAAAATGAATGACCTATTACAAACTGCCATTCATGGAAAAAATAAATAAATAAAATTTAGAGGGAGAAATTGTTACATAGTCTCCTCGCCAAACCAGCCCCAAACATACTGTATGAACAACTTCTACAAGCAGTTCCCATGCTGGTCAGTCTCTTTGATGAGGTAATTTGCCACGGACATGTGCTATCAAAAGACGACCAATCGTATAGTTGGATTTTTGAGAAGATAAAATTTCTGCTTCAGAAAACAGATTTCTTTTATAGAATTCAAATCAGAAATCTTTTCTGGAGTGGGCATTTTCAAAGCTGGATTGTGTTACAAAACCGCACTTATTATGAAGATAGATGCAACTTTGTTGTGTTGCTTGCAAACAATGCTGTATTGTACAACACAACAGAACCTTATCTCTAGCTGACACTGTGATAGGGTGACAGCTATTTGAAAATAAAGACGTTCTTAGATGGCACAAAAATAGTAAAAGGATTAGAATTCAGAGCCTTGTGTTCTTCCCCCCCAAAAAAGTGTTGCTCAATACTGATAAATACAAATTTAGCAATGTGATTTTGTCATTTGGAGTAAAGCATTACGCTGATTAGATTGTCAAGAAGGCTAAATACAAAATAGCTTCCACTTAATTGCACTTAGAGAAATTAGAAATGAACAGCAAAAATTGGAGTGAACGTGTTAAATAATGTGCTCGTTCTATGGGAACAATTCTCTGGTGTCCCCATCACTCACAAATATCAATGGGGTTTATTCTTTATGTGGCGAGTTGAGAATTAACTGGCACAATTTAGGCCAAAATAGTAGAGCTGTAAAAATGGATGAGGTGCAGCTGTTGATTTGCCACAATCCTCGAGAGAGAAGAAATTAGCTATTTTCCCCAGACACAAAACATCAATAAAGGAGAGCAGAGAGTGGCGTCACAAAGGGTCAAAATGGTTTGATTCCACGCAGTTTCTGTTGTGGAGACCGAGCTCCAGTGCTGCTGGATTTTTTTTTTCTGAAAATGCATTTTTTAAAACCTTTTTCTACAGCATTCATTCAGAAACAGTCAAAAACAGAATCCACATATTATACAGAGAAACAGATATGCATAAATAAGAAAAAACACACAATAATGTCCCACTGATTTCTAAGCAGTTTCTTCAAAGCATAAGCATGGGACACTGTTTTGGCCAGACTTGGCAGTGTTTTTCCTTATTCAAAAAGTCTTCACTGGCTTTATATACAATTTTATTAATCTGTATGCTGTTATTTTTCCCAAAACAATAGGCTGAAGTAACAAAGCCATTTTATGTTCGGTTTGCCTTTACATTTATATTAAAGGAACACTATAGGCATCCAGACCACTTCTTTTCAATAAAGTTGTGTTGGTGCCATGTGCCCCTCCCATCCTTTTAACCCTTTAGCTGAAAACATTGTCGTTCCCGCAGGAACTTAAATGTTTACATTGCAGATGTAACCTGCCTGTAGTGGTCCTCATGCCTACAGCTGGTAAAGGCACTTCTGTGAAATCGCAGAGTAAAACTCTTTTAGTCAGATGGCTTCAGAGACCATCTTATCGGAACAGCGTAGTGTTTTGCCACGCATGCGCACTAAACTGGCTTGGAAAAAGGTATGTTTCTTTACAAGCTAGTTTAGTGAATGTGGAGTTGTTGAATAGCTGAAAATGTCAGCTGACCAAACTCATCCAATCACTGGCACCCTTGCCCAGCAACACTCCATGCTTCCTTAATCTCGAGATTCAGAGGCCAGATACTGCCTGGGGGAGGTGGACATCGCCACTGGAGGCAATTTGGGGATTAAACTTTCGAGAACAGTTTAATCCCTTGAGGTAAGGGTGCCTCCAGGGGCATCATAACCTCATTTAGGTTTTAAGCCTTCAAGAAACAAAAACCAAGAAAGTTATGGTGGGAAAAATGGGATCGAAAACCCCTTCCACGTGAGATCAGTGGATAGTCAATACATTGTTAAACACAGCTCTGCACACCAGTCAAGAAATAAGACTTGCTTTTCCCACAGAAATCATAAATTGGCAGTGACGTTACTACTGCAAGGGATTCTGGGTGGACATATGCAAAGTAGGTCAACAAACCATCATCTTTTTGCCTCAATATTCCATTTTAAACATGGATTCCTTTGTTTGTGTTTGCTGTATACAACAGCTTTGAAACACAACTCAGGAAGAGATGCAAAGCCAGTGAACCACCCATGGACAGCGGTTTTGTTGTTAAGGCAAGTCATCAGCATGAGGTTGGTTGCTGGCTTGCAATGGAGGCTTGGCGTTACTTGTGGAGCACAAACCAACAAAGTTATGGTGTCTTCAAGGTAAACATTATAATTTCTGCAAAACGGCAATGTTTTACTGCAAATGGTTAAAATGACAGGACCAACACACCTAGACGACTTCACTGAGAATAAGTGGCCTGGGTGACTCTAGTGGCCTTTCAGGACAGGAACAGAACACTATGGAGACCCACATTAGTTTAAACTGTTAACCAGTGGCAGATCGGGGGCGGGGCAACAGGGCAATTGATTCTCCCCTACTGGCTAATGCAGGGCTGGCACTGTCCAAGAGCCAGCCCTGCAATGTGCCTTCAAGGACCGGAGGGGTCCGCGTGCTGGCAGTGAGGGAGTTAGAGAGGGCCCGGGAGCTCAGCCTGCAGCTCCTCCGGGTTCTTCTCACGCGAGCACGGAGCGTTGCCGCGGTTACCACAGCAACGCTCCGGATCTCGCGATAGTGAACTCTATCCCTGGAGCTACAGGCTAGAGTTTACGCTCACCACTAGAACCACCAGGGATTCCCCAGACCATCAGGGATCAAAATATATCCCCTCTCCTCCCTCAGTAAAGGTAAGAAGGGAGGAGGGACATCAATATATTTTATTTAAAAAAAATTATTAAAAAGCCTCCCTAACCTCCTCCCACGAGCTGCCCCTCCCCCCGTACACACAATTCCCCACACATACACTGCAACTCTGACATACACTGCCACCCTTACACTCGCTGCACCTTTCACTCACACACACACCACCCCTAACACACCCCAGCCACTGCTCCTATGCCCTATATCCCAGCAGACCCCAGGTAAGTTGTCAAACTGTTCTTAAACGTTTTGACTACTTACTCTGGGATGGGATCCTGGCACTACTTGGACCATAACTACTACACCTAGCTGTAGTGATTATTGTGCCTGGATTATTTCTTTAAATAATCTACAAGTGCCCCTCCCGAGATCAGGCTCTGGATCCGCCACTGCTGTTAACAATACTTTATCTCCCAGCAGGTGATAATTCACCAGTACCAGCCTACAATACCATAGTCTGTGCAAGGGGTCTCATTTCCCAGTAAACTGGGACCTACGGATAAACTACAAAAGGGAATGTTTATGTCAAAATAGTTTCTTAGTAGCATGGGTCCAGTTTGGCTATTTATACATGAAATGTGCACTCCCCCGGTCATTTCCCCCCCCACAATTCATGGGTTAATGAGCCTTTCTTTGGCTACCTGAGGAGGAGTTCCTGTATGTGAAGGATTAGGCATGGATCACTGGAATTCTGCAAGCTTGCAGTATCTGCGAGACAGACACACACACACACACTTTAAATAAAATAAAAAGGCTAGGCTTGGCCGCTGGACTCCTAATCCCACTACCATCATTTTAGCTCGATGAGAATAGCAATCCAACAGCTATGCATGTGTCCATCCTCGTTTTAAAACAGCTACAACCTTTAGTCATTCAGCAATGCAGGAGGTCCCCTATCTGTCAAACAGAGTCCAATTTAAATGCCATGTGTTTCCATCACGTTGTGTGTGCAGTGAAAGTCAGATCGTAGATACCAGCAGCATATGAAATCTCCCTTACCTTTTATTCGCTCCATGCCAAGCTCAGTGCTGCATGCCCAGGTGTGCAGAGGATGGTGAACTTGTCCTATACAAATGTTGCCCTTCTGATTTCCCGCAAACTTTTCCTGGTTAGTGCCCCTAAATAGCCCTGGGACAGTGCCAGTGTTCTATGATGGAACGTTCGGCAGATCTGGAAGAAGGGCCAATAAACTTGAAGACTTTGTATCAGTGATTCCTGTGATCACTAACCCTCATCCAAACTGATCTCCTCACTCAGTCTGATTTGAGCAGCTCTGCAGGACACAGGTTGGAGTTCAGGATCTGAGCTGCAGGGCTCTGCTGAGGTAACTGATCTCATTGTAATTTCATCACCCCTTCCCCTTCCTTGACAAGGAGTCAAACGTTAACATGCAACTTCCACAGGCAGCTTTTTTTTTTTTTTCCTGTGTCCTGTGCCTCCTCCTCTGGAGGGACTTCTTCAGAGGCCACAGGGTCTTAGTGCCTCCCCACCCCCCATACTACTCACTATTAGTCCACACATAGCTGGGAAGCTTTTCCAGGGAGGGTCTGTGATTGAGGAGTGTCCTGCCTCACCCTTCAGGAAAGGGGGAAAAAACGTTCTCTCAGAAAGCTTCTCACATAATATTCCATTGGGAGTTTCGAGTTTGCTTTCCAAAAATATACCCCTTGTAGCAGTGAATGTGCAGAAGACAGGTGTGTCTGTCCCAGCAGTTGGTAAAGAATTAGCCTGTTAGCAGCAGAAATTGCACTTTACTCTTTAGCTACATGAGGTGTTTGTTCCTCGATTGTAATAACAAAATACATTCTATTTCATTATTTCTTCTACTTTCCTGACCAAACAGAAATTTGATACATCTGCCATTTATTTGTTAATTGATATGCATAAAACATGAGGATAGATCATGCTTTTATCTATTTAATATATGCTTTATACTTTGATCAAAAGACAAAAAAGCCGCCAACACATTTGTGTGTGTGTTTTTTTAATGTTTAGTATAATATATTGCCTTGAAGTTCACGATGTGATTAACCCTTTCAGGACTTGCTATCGTTAATGAGTTAATTTACCCCCATATGTAACAACATGAAGATTGTTTCATAAGCTGTACAGGTTATTCTACAGATAACTGACATGTCACCATTAATGTGTGAGCAGTAATGTACTTCAAGTGAAGGACTCCATGCATTCTATGCAGATAGAATCTTTACCAAACATATTTACACAGATTAACTAGTTAGCCTGATGTAGTTGCAGTTTTTAAAAATGTAAAACTAGTTTTCATGCACACCAATGATACAGCTCAGAACTGAGGAAGAGCGCCCCCTGGATGTCACTCTGCATGTGGCCTTATCACCTTCAGGATCATGCTTAGATAACACACAGTAGGATCATACTTCCCAAATCTCAAATTTGGGTTCCTGATCTGTTGTTACAGATTGTTTCTGGTGTCCTGGTCCCCCCAAAAAAGTCCAGGTTAAACACATTGTTGCACTTATCTTGTGCAAATTAAACCCAGAATACAGACATATGAGAGTGCTTCAGCAGTGCTCCGTGCATGAGCAGCCCTGAGTGACTAGTCAGCTTGGCATGCATGGCAAACTTGCCCTTTTCTGTGTCACCAGTAGTGCACATAGCACACCTTCTTTTGACCCCTCCCCTCTAGTATTCATACTTTCCAATATTGAGAAGTTTGTCAAATTGGTTGATTCAGAAAACATACCTCCCAACAGTCCTGGATTTTGTGGGACAGTCCCTAATTTGATTGTGTGTTCTAACATCCCACATTTGGTCCCTGAGGTCCCACTTCAGGGAATGTCAAAGAAGAGTTCCTAATAAGCACAGTGTGAACGTATGATTAGACATGCTCATGCTGTGCAAACTAAATTTAGGGCAGTCTGGCTTAATAGTGATAGTGCTTTACCATCTTTACATGTGTTGCTGGGGTGCTTATCACATCACTAGTAACATGTTTAATCATCATTGGCGCTCACCTTATTGTCAGGATTTGATATCACTTCATATATAGATGGGAAGGAGTTGCTCATTTAGAGCTCATGTGAGCTCAGTAAAATGTTTGTCTTGTTTCCCATTGTGCAGCCAGCGCTACGGAAAATCTTGGAGCTATATAAATATATGTAATTGAATGTCACCGTGTGTAACTAGTGCATTTATCTTGAGATCCAGTTCTACAAAATTGAAAATAAATAAAATTTCCTGACGAAATCGAAGGGCCCTCATGCGTAAAACATGAAAAATTAGCTATGACATGTGTTAACCATTTTTTCATATGAAACTGTTTTCTATGAAATGTATATTAAAGATTTATGGATTGACATCATAATTCAGGTTATTCCTGGCACAGCCAATGCACACATTGCTTTTGAGAAAGTGAAGCTAAATTTATTTCTTTTATAGCTTTTCTTACCACTCCAAATTTTCATCTACTGTCCCATATTCTCTCCTTTCCATCATGTCTCAATACAGGGCTTCAGCCTCCCTATTCCATTATAGTTTTGTCCCCATGTGTCTAATTTGAGCTCCCCTTCTCATTGCCCAGCTCTAGTCGGACAGTTAAAGAAAGATCTTTGCCACTCAGTGGGTGAGAGACTGATTAAAAAATAAAGTGCAAGGTATTGCACACTTCTTGTTGCACATTTTAGATTATAGTTGGCCCCATGCCATTTGCTCTATTTGCATCCCTATTATCAATATTAGTGCTGGTGTGATACATAAAAACGTATGCAAACAGATTAGTTTCCAGCACTGAAAGGGTAAATGATCAGCAATGTGTGACGGTGTGACATGGCAGGAGACATGTAAATAGGGTGGTCAGCAGGGGGATTCTGGGAGTAGAATGTATAAGTATCATGTGGGTGTATGGAATATGTTATAGAAATAAACTGGTATGGTATATCATCATGTCTCGTTCAAGCATAATGTGTCTAATCAGAATGAGTGGTGGGCTTATCCCTATGGTTTATAATAGTTACTTTGTTCACCCACAGACATAGGAATCCATATATTTGGGGGGCAGCCTTCCATGCTGTAACTCTTTCAGAACTAGTAGCCATTCCCCCGGTGCAGAAGCAAGCTATGGAGAGGTACAAATAAAGTATTGGTTTAAACAAGTGGGGGATTGTTTACAGGTAATTAGCATTTCCTCACCAGAATTGCATCATTAATTAGATTATGCTAATGAGCACTGATAGATACAGTTACCAAATGTGAATTTAAATTGCACATTGTTATCTTCTGGAATACATTTTTGACCACTGGGAAAGAGATAACACTGAAAATGAGGCATTTGTACAAAATAAACAATATAAAAAAACACTTAGTAAAGGGATACTAAAGGGGCGCTCTAAACATAATAACAAAGAAAGCCCATTATTGTACGAAAAGTGAACTGTTAACTTTTTAAATGACCACTTTGCACTGTTAAGGCTATTCACCAAAATCACTAGACCTATGAATTGTTGTGCATTGACCTGTGAATTCTTCATGCCCTTACACACTTATTAAACCTTAACAACATAAACATGGGGTGGGTGGCAGCACTGCAGCATGCTTGTGTAATACCTAAGCAAATACATTTGGGATAGTGAGCAGGTAACCTTTGTGTTTGCTCTATGCATTTGGACTGATAAATACTATAGCCACAGGGCTATGACATTTATCAGTTCACAGGGCTTAATTTTCAGGGTTATTTACTAAAGTGAGAATTTCACATTTAAAGGACCACTATAGGCACCCAGACCACTTCAGCTCAAGAAAAACTGTTATGTTTACACTGCAGAGTTAATCCAGCCTCTAGTGGCTGTTTCCCTGACAGCCACTAGAGTCGCTTCCTTGATTTACATGGAGTAAATCGCACTTATCTGACGCTGGATTTCCCTTATGGAGTCCAGTGTCAAATAAGATCTCCATAGGAAAGTATTGAGTAATGCTTTCCTATGGGTGGGTTTGAATGCGCACGCGCCTCTGGCCGCACATGCACATTTGGCTCCACTCAGGAGCTGACGTCAGTGGGGGAGGAGAGGTCACCAGCACTGAGGGAGCCCGGTGCTGGATTAAGGGGGAAGAGCTTTTCAATTTTTACTTTATTAATTGTTTAAAAAAAAAAAAATAATATTCCCCTTTCCCTGATCTTACCTTGCAGGGAAGGGGTGGCACAATCAGATCCGTGGTGGTTGAGAAGGCTGCCTATCCATCGGGTACAGGGAAGGTCACAAAATGAGAGGTCTCTCTCTTGGAGCTCTAGCAATTACACAGACTGACCCATACAAACCCACAGACTGCTACCCCACATACACACAGACTGACCCATACACACCCACACACAAAGACTGACCCCCCACACAAAGACTGACCTCCCACACACACAGACTGACCTCCCTCACACACAGACTGACCTCCCACACACACAGACTGACCTCCCACACACACAGACTGACCCCCACACACACACATTTTCAATGTAAACGCTCCCTTTTCAGAGAAAAGGCAGCGCTTACATTGCTGCCTACTAAGACCTCTAGTGACAGTCACTAGACACAGTTGGCCACTAGAGAGTCCTGTGTCAGTGCTCTGCATGGAGGCGCGAATGTTACCCATAGAAAACATGCGTAATATCCTCCCAATCCTTTCCTATGGGAAAGCATTGGCTTAGCTGAGATAATTAAGATCTCAGCTATGGAGGGGCAAGCCACGGCGAAACCAGCATGGCGTAGGAAAAAAGGTGAGTAAAAACAAGAATCATGTGATCGGAGGAGGCACTTACCTAAACAGACACACGCTCTCTGACAGACAAACACACGCACACTCACACACACATTGATAGAGGCATACACACACACACATACATACATACAGACACACACTTTCTCTAACACTCACAAATCTATATATTTTTCATTTTAATCCACCCAAGCTCCCTACGTTTGGGAGAGCTGAGTGGAGTTTCCCTGGGGAGGGAGCAGTGATCTTCCTGCAGCTCCTCTCTGCTCCCTCACACTGTCTGCAGTGATGCTGGGGCCAGAATGATGTCATATTCCAGCTCTCAGCATCAGTACACAGAGCGAGGGAGCAGAGAGGAGCTGCAGGAAGATCACTGCTCCCTCGCGCACTGCCCTAGCCTGCCGCCTCCATTCTCCCCAGGGTGGCCGCCTGCACACAACCCAGGGCGGCTGTCTCCATGATCCCTGAGCCGGCCGCATCCATGCTCTCCAGGGCGGTCGGCTACATGCTCACTGAGCCGGCCGCCTCCACGATCCCTAAGCCACCATACCTCCCAGGCTGGCATCATTGTTTGCCCAACCGCTCACTTAAAGTAAAAGGCTGACAAATCCCAGACGCCAGGGCAAAATTTCTAGTTGCCATGGCGCCTGGGATTTGTCAAGACCTGCCATACACACACACACACAGACTGAACCCCCCACCTCCACACACAGACTGACCCATACATACACTGATCCATACACACATAGACTGACCACCCCCCCAGCCAGACTGACCCCCCCACCCAGAGACTAAACCACACACAGGCAGACTAAGCCCTCACACTTGCCAGCAGCTGCCTGGATGCCTCTGTGCAGAGCTGAGCTTCCTCTCCCGGTCTCTCCCCTGCGCTGTTCTCTATGATCCCGGGGAAAGTCCTCCCAGCACAGCGCCCCCTCTGGCTGCACGTGGGAAAAGGGTGGAACAGACTGCTGACAGTGCAGCTGCAGCTTCTGAAGGGAGACTCGACTTCAATTTCATCTGGGGGGGGGGCACTGCATGATGTAGGCGGGCCATGGTCCCCCCCTAGCGACGCCATTGAATAACACTGTTTGTGTGTTTGTATTTGCTTTTGTATTACACATGTTACAATGCTGTCACCCATCCTATGTGTATCCTATTAAGGGTTAATAAGTAGGTAAGGGTTCAAATTAATTCTTCTTTCTGGTTCATTAGACATTCTGCCTTACAGCTGAAGCAGCAAGGTGAATTGTTACTGTATGACTCACCTAAGAGATTTGCCTTGATGGGGCAGGCAGCTTACACTTTAATGGTCATTGGAATGGTAATAACAACCTTATGTTATTTAAGTGTGCTTTTAGATTTAGGATAGTGCACTTTTTCTTGCTTTTGTTCTGTGAAAATCTTTTGTCTCATGGAAATGACAGCAAAGTGTGATCCTGCTTGCAAAATGTTATCAATAATTGTGTGAAAAATAATTTGCTACATATCTAATATTAAATCAACTGCGTTATTTTTGTAAAACTGTGCAGGAATTTTTTGCAAACAAAAAAACAAAACAAAAATAGAATTTGCCTGAAGTGGTAGAAAATTTACGCAAATAAGAAACTAAGACTTGCCGATTCCTAGTCCTATTGTCTCCTTTAGCATCTTTTGTCTCAATATCCTTCACCCAGCTTTATAGAGCTTATTGTGTTTGTAGCAATGTTATTTTGCTGAAAAACTACCAAAAAGTTTTTAACCCCTTAAGGACCAAACTTCTGGAATAAAAGGGAATCATGACATGTCACACATGTCATGTGTCCTTAAGGGGTTAAAGCACAATATAAAACTACATATGCAGGATTATTAATTAAAATTTGTCGGGAATTCAAAGTGAATTTCAAACTTAAGGCCAACAAATTCTGGAAGAAATTCACCAAGACAGGTTTGCCTGCAATTCAGTGTCTTTAAATTTAAAATTGAATGCAAGTCAGATCACACTGTAGTGAACAGATCTGATAGATATATTCTCTATATTCTAGTGATTAATGTAATTACTTTTGATTGGTCAGGATGTGCATTGATTCATTGATGAACTGACATTTGACCTGAGGGGCAGATAGAAACAAATAGTATTTTTTTTTGTCCATGAAACACACAGATCTTTGTGTGGATGCTGCAGCACATGCAGGCCTCTATAATACAGGCATAGTCGTCACAAGCCCATACACAAACCACTGCAGTAATGGGCTAGCAAAAGCCCTTGCCATATCCTGCCTGCTGCCTCACTCCTGCAATGCTATGCCAACATACATCCTCTTTTATTTTAATCTACAGAGGAATGGCGTGAGGCTGCAACCCACAGCCTCTGTACTAGTGCACTCCAGGACTTCAAAAATGTTTTTTTTTTTTTAAATATAATTTGTTTTAACCCTTTTGTGGAATTTGTCAAGATGGGGTTTAAAAAAAAAAAAATCCATGTATTGGCACATGACTGTCTATATAATCTTTTGATGTTGGAGACCACCGCAGAGTTCAGACATGTTATAATAGAGAAAATCCAGAGACAGATGAATAAGGACTATGGTTAATCTGACCCCAATGATGGATAACTTGACCTCTCCATGAAACAAAGGCCAGCACCCTCTAGTGTTTACAAGACAAATTGCATGCATTTCAGTCAATGCATTGATCACAACCTTGTAGCCAATCACAAGGCAATATAGTTCACCTGCATAGATGCTGCTGTTACCGTGTGACAAATAATGATCTCTCACTCAAAGACAGTCTTCACAGTCACTTTACATTATTCCACTACCGGTCAGTTCTGTGAGGGTCAAAACTGACAGGAGGCTGATAGGAACCATTTTTTCAGGGACACATAACAGCAGGGGAGGGTCATCTTAGCAATGCACTGGGGCCCTGCCTGCACAACCATTCACAGGAATAAAAATGTCATTTATTGATAAAATTAAGCTTATATTTATTGGTACCGCCAAAAAAACATTTTAAACATTAGAAAACATGCCTTAGAGCACAGATTAATGCACATAAATGTTTGGAAAATATAACATGAGTCTTGAAGTTGAAAACCAAGAAATTTAACTTACAAATGGTACTCAGTTGGTAAATCATACATACGGAGATGGCACACTACGAAATTACTGTGAATTATTTATTATTAGTTAAGTATACAACATTTGTTCAATTTCTTTATAATTGGCTTGAAGTCAGTGGTTTTCAGGATGTCATTTTCCATACACGAGTGAAAGCCAGTACAAACGCTGCCTGCTACCCCATTGTGCAGCAAAGGAGATTTTTTTAATTTTTTTTTATCAGTTTCAGTCTTGAAAATGAACATTCTTCTGCACAGTTGGTCTCAGGATTGCAGGGACAGATAACTGTGGTGCTTCGTCCACCTAAACGTTTTAATAAAGAGAGATTTGACGGTTCTGAATAAATCTCCTGGAATGATATACTGAAAATTTGGCAAGCTTATGAGGCCCCTATACTTCTGGGTTCCCCTGAGCAACTGCCCAGCCTACCCATGCGTTAAGACGGCTTTGACTTAAAGGACACTTCACTGTGCAAGGAGGCAGAGAGAAAGAACGAGTGACAATATCTCCATTTACCACGACTAACCTGCCAGAAATTAGCCCCAATCAAGGCTATTCGGTTGTCATAAAACCAAATAAGCATTTTATATTAGTTCAAACATAGCAGTGAGTATACGTTTCAGAATGTTAAGAGTGCATTAAAGTGTCTGTGAGAGTGTATTACTTTGCCTGAATGGGAGAGTGTTTATAAATGCATGTTTTTACAAACATCTGAGTTTTTCTAATGTTACCATAGCAACTAAAATGAACTATTAGAGTATGGCACAATTAAAGATGGATAACATGTTTTCTGATTGATAGATTTGTATTTTCACACATTACATTTACATTGATACTGCTTTTAATCCATTCACCGCTAAGTATTTGGGCCCAAATCCTTCTGTCCCTCTTTTCTATCCTAATGTCCATCCTTCCTAGGAGCTCCATATTGTTGGTGTGTGCATGACAATGTTCCACAGCAATAACAATCACAGTAATGTGTTTGAACTACAATACGTTTGTTTAAAAACCAATTTATTTATATAGGATTCATTGTTCTTGTTTTAAATTACATTTTCTTTGCATAAATAATTAATAGTAAATCACCTAAATTTTCTCAGAACAGCTCTGCTCCCTGACCATACCCCTACATACACCCCTAAAAAAAAAAGTCCCTCTTTGTTCATTTGAAATGCTGGTAAGCATGTAGTCATTAGGAAGATATCAATATTATTAATATTTAATATTAGTATTTTTATATCTGAGTCACAGAGTTTCATTGGATAACTGACTATATTCTTGTAAAATGTGGCAGGATAAGAAAGATAAAATAAAGTAAATGAAACAAAATATTTTTAGACTATGTGGGGTAAATCTTTTGGTGACCTGATCATTTTTTTTTTACCTTCTATAAAGTTGTTAAAATATATCATCCACTGGTGTTTTTCAACAATTACTTTTTGATATTTTGCAAGAAACCAGCATCCCTCCACAGCAGGACTAAAGTCAATGACATCAGACTGTGATGTGCTGAAATTTAATATTTCTCCGAAACGCCACTCTTTCATAATCTCAGCTGGGGGGATTTTATTCATTTCAAACTGTGTTAGCTTTGGCTCAGCTGTTATAAGTTCTGCCAGAAAATAGTAGAGATAAAAAAAAAAAAAAAGTTATGTATCAAGTAAAAAAACTAAATATATATATATATATATATATATATATACACATATTTCTATATATAAAAATAAATAGCACACAAGGAGGAAGTAGTGACCTTCAAAGTAACTTTTCATTCACTGACTCTCACCCAGTCTTCAAAGCTCTCTAATGGCCCCGGATTTTGAATTGCTCATGTAATGAGGATACTGATAATGCGGCTCGAGAACAGAGTTGGTAAAAGGGCTCTAGTGTAGCGGGATCCCTGCTCCCTTACTATATTAGCTAAGGGAACGGAGTTCCAACGTTTCTTTCTGTAAAGATAAGAGTCAATGCATACAGTACAGGAGCACTTGTGCAACTCATCTTCCAGTGAGGAGAGATAGGAAGGAAATGGATTGCGGGCATTGCATGGAATAAGGGGAGGGACATGAAACAGGACTGAGGTGAAATGAATTGGGACATGTCATGAGGAAGGGAATAGAATGAATGAGATACCCTCATCACTGCCACTTACCAAATTTCATGTGTGTGATAAATTAACTTGATAAAAGATAGGTGGAGATCAGAAAAGGCAGAAAGGGTGGTAAGAGTTAAGATTCAAAAGATGAAAGATATGGCTGGAGGTCACTGGATGAGGACGGATGATAAATTACAGGTTAAAGGTGATAAAGGAAATTTTGGTTTTGGGGAAAGTAAATCCAGGTAGAGAATGAGATTAGGAGAGGAATATGACTATGATGGCGAGATAAAGCTGCAATATGAGTTGGAGGAAGAAATTAGACTAGTGTATAAATTAGGAGAAATCAAGGCTCAGGTTGGGGTTGAGTATGACCTAAACTCACTGAAATGCGTGGTCTATAACAGAGCATCACAGCAATGTTCTGATTGTATTACAAAGCTCCATAAAAAATATCATGGTGTAAACGGGTTTGTCACACATCTCCACAGAAATAGAAATTCTATCCGCTGCACCATTACAAAAACTAGCAAAAAATGAGCCCCTCCCAGGTCTGGCTCTAGATCTGCCCCTGCAGTGTTATGACACAGAAACAACTTGGGGTAGACACTAGGTAATCATTACTGACACACACACACAAAACAAAAAAAAACATATGAGAAGACACCTTGAGAGAGGCAACTGTTTTAATATTTGACATTTCTGGATTTGGAATCCAAGGCAAACAAAGATCAGAATGTTTCAGAGAGAATAAATATAACACATACAGCAAAGTTTGTAAAAGTCACTTCTTTGCTATAACAGTGTCAATAAATCAGATCAGTAGCACCGGCTGCGCCCGCAGCTTGTCTCAGGCCTCCCAGGTACTTTTCCTAAAGGTCCATGCATTACGTGAAACAATCTCACGGCAGGTTCTTGCTAAAGACAGCAGCTGTTTGCCATGAGATCAGCTAGTGAAATGCCGACTACATGACAGCTAGAATACATGGTTACCACTATCTGATACTAAACCTTTTAATGTAAAAACGGTTCAGCAATATCACCCTCTCTAGCTCTTAAAAGGTTAAAATATTTGCTGGTTCACTGGCCACACAGGTGAGAAAGGGGTTAATTATTAAAGTAACTCCCATGAAGCTGAGCCATCAAAACCATATTGTTCAGAGTATACACATATTCATAGATGGACTTTATAATATGTATACTTGCTAGACAGCATCCTGGTGAGCAGAGCTGTTGAAACGTGGATAAACATTTTAAACGTATGCCTTTGTCTAGTGGATTGTTGAAACGCTCATTACTGCAGTAGCATATAAATTAACGGAGGCACTGGATTGCAACAATGTTAGGAGAGAAGTCAATAAAGACATAAGTGGCTGTTATCGACTTGAAATTGCAAGTTCAATTGGGGATCTCAACCTATGTCAAACGAGAAAGACTAGCTATTGCTTAATGGGCCACTTGATGGCAGCACATTAACACCATCCACACTAAAATTTGACTACCGGTAACCTATTTTTGATATGTCAGATTTAGAATGATTGTTTGAATCAACACAATGAATGTTCAATGAATTAAATTCCCATTCAACATACCGTGCCATGTATTGCCAGATGGATATATCACACCGATATTAACAATTGTGCCAGTGCCCATATTTTAATTTGAATTGTGATGGATATTAGGTAAGGCATTTCACAATTTGCCTCATTACATTCCAAAAGAAGATAAAATAAAAATTAAATTTGAGATATGTTTAAAGTCAATTGACAAGCCGCCGGACACTCACCCTGTCTGACCCTAATGTTAGACATTTCCCATGGTTTAGACTGGTTCAGTTTTCAGCCTTTGGTCATTATCAGAATGTGACCCTGCTTTATTTTTGCAAGAGGTTTATGTTAAATTCTAGTAAAATATCTGCACCTGTTGTAAAGTTCCAGATTATTACATTAATAGTTTTAGTATAAAATGACAAATGGTGGGGTACCCCAAAAATGTGCATGTAACAGATAAAAAGGGTGTATTTATATGTTTAGGCCATAATATATGAGCTGGTAAATATCTCCAATCTATTTTGGCCTAATTTGGCAAGTCAGTTGTTAACTCACTACTGTTGATTGTTTAGAGAATAACCCCCTATGTAAGAAAATAGAACAATAAAATTTTAATCCTAAAGTATTTCCAAGTTTACAAAAAAAAATCCTAAATTTCTCACTTTATCACACCGAAATGGTTATAGTGACTCTAGACAGAGTATCCCTTTAAGATTTTGTAACTTGTTATTTGTGCTAAATTTTGCAAGTCCGTTCTCAGTTTACTACAATTTGCAGCTTAGAGAGCAGACCCCAAAACAAGCACTTAAAAAATCCTTTTAAGATCCAAACAGCAGTAAATAAAAGTAGTATTTTTTTTTTGTATGGGTGTCAAGTGAGAATTGTGATGAATTAAAATGTAATTTCAAAATAAGGGCCAGAATGGCTAAAACTTAAAATGTAAACATGCTTCTAGTTCAGGTATTTTGGTGTAAACTTCGACATTCACTTTAAATTTTCAACAATTCTTACTTTAGTAAATAGCCTTGTGTGATTAACATCTTTTGTGTGTTCTGTCTTCTTACAATCGGTTTTATACTCTAAATGGTGAAATGCATGGTTATTACCTAACAGCATTCATTGCACAATATAACTGTGAAAAGTACATTGATTGCTGGCATTGACATTTTAAGTGGAATCATTGTTTATTCTGCAGAATGTTTAAATGATGCCCTAAACCCATATTGTTTTATTGTTTTTAACTAAAAAAAGAAATGTATTTTCCCGGTGGAATTCTCTGACTAATGTCTATAAAATTTGCAGTAACACTTTTGGGATCAGGCAGAGATCAAAGGTCCAGGCCTATCATACGGACAATATATTGGTGTCGGAAACAGAATACAATATCACAGCTAACAGATGTATTGATAGTTTAAACTTTCAGAAAGAGAGGCGCATAAAAAAAGAGCATTAAAAAATATAACCAAGAGATCAAAATATCTCTCGCCACAGATTAATAACTTCCTTCAGCCGTCAAAAGGGACTGCAACATATTGCATAGAAATAGGTTGGGATCCCTTCCACGTCTGAAATGGATAAAGCAAATATCTCTGACTACAGCAAGATTGCTCTATAATACAATATACATATAGTGTGTAATAGTTATACATAATATTTATATGTGTATATATGTGTGTGTATATATATATGTGCATATACATACACACATATACATATATACGTATAAATATATTTAGAGGTGTACATTTGTTGTTGAGGCACGCGGTGCGTTGAATTAGAAAAGCCTGGCTTGCTTTTTAAGTTCGTTCCGTTTCCAGAGTGCTAGGCGGTCAAACTCTGATATTGTCATTCCAAAAACTTGGTAAAATTCCTCAGCTGATAAGTGTCGCTGTTAAAGAGACAACAGTTATTTAATAATATACAGTGATGGTTTGGATGTGAGTGCTCAAAACAAAGAAAAAAACATACAAAACAGAACACATATACTGGAACTACATATAAAGGTGCAGTAAGCATCTCCAAGCAAGTGGTTATGGTTATATGAGTCTTGAATTTTTTTCCTAACTGTGTTTTGGAGCAATCTGACAAAAAACAAGGGATGTTTCTGGTACCATAACCTGCTCCTTCTGCAATTCAGAAAATACAGAAATTAAAGTTAGGTGTTATCCGTACATATCCATCCCACCTTGGACGTAATGTTATGCTGAGTTCACTTGAGTTGGGGAGGGTTAGCTCACCTTGGCATGCCCCTTTAATACCAGATTATCTCTTAGAATTATCTCAGATAACACAAACTCATTCAGGGTGTAAGAAGGAATTGCACAGACTCTGCTTTGAAGGGGTTGCAAGCAGTGAATGGATTACATATTAAAAGACATTAGTGAGCTCCGCCAACAATAATTAACAAATCCCATTAGTTTTTGTTACTCACTTCCAGACGCGTTCTGTCTGCATCCTTAGGCAGTCTGGTCCTCCCTCTAGTGGTGACCATAAGTAGTTCATAAGGATAGATCTACAAGAAACAGGGCAAGGCACTCTTACACTACAAATGTATTCTCTTCCTTTGTAAAAAAGGTTACAAAGACTTGAGAAAAGAGGAAGTAATTAACTTATGATGTACATTGCATTTTGAGAGAAATATAATACTGAGACAGTACTTAAAGCATCATTAATACCAATCCACCTGAGCTTTTTTTTTTATCATACATTTATATTGTGCAGTAGTTTACAGAAAATATCTACCAAGTCAGACTCATTAAATACACAAATATTATGGCTATTTGTATCTCAATATTTGTACACTATGTTCTATCTGAATAATTTATATCACACACATGTTTGTGTGCACTATACATGTATATTATGTCAGGATTAATTTCCAGACTGCTAAGAGAAGATTCTGGGTACTCCACGGCTCCATAATGGGTAGTTTATATGTTATCAATTTCCTCATCTGGCTACTGAGACGGCAC